TTTTTTTTCCCCCTCTCTCTCTGGTGTTTGAATTAAGTGAGGAAGTACTTGAGGGAGTTAGAGAATTAAAAGTCTGGGTCAGATTATGTGACAGTGTCTACAAGACACCAGAATTCAGATGCTTTGTTGAATGGAGAGCAAAATGGAAATGAATGAGAGGAGAACAAATGGAGATTTGGTTAGTAAAAGGACATTTGGTGCATGAGGTTCTGTAACTGTACTGGATTTAAGATGGTGATAATATGACTTGAACTATTCTCACTGTGGGCATTAACCCATGATTAAGTGACTTGAGCTCTCTCAAACGACCAGATTCTTTTTTTAAAAAGCAATATTAGTATATAATGTTAATAATGAATACAGACCTATCTTAGCTCTTATGAGGTCTTACTTAGCTTTGACTTAGGACTATTTTCTTTGAGGATTAAGTGAGATAATATAGCAAAGATGCTATATAACAAGTGCTGAATAAACATCTGTTCCTAATTCGAATTGTATCAACCCAGTGTATGGATTGGAAACCTCTAAGTAGGATTGACAATAGAGTTCATTAGTAGAGTCCTTATCAAAAAAACCCTGGAGGGGCTGGGAATGTGGCATAGTGGTAGAGTGCTTGCCTAGCATGCATGAAACCCTAGGTTCAATTCCTTAGTACCACATAAACAGAAAAAGCCAGAAGTGGCACTGTGGCTCATGTGGTAGACTGATAGCCTTGAGCAAAAAGAAGCTCAGGGACAGTACCCAGGTCCTGAGTTCAAGCCCCAGGACTGGCAAAAGACAGAACAAAACAAAAAACCATCACCACCACCAACAAAAATACCAAAAAGAAAACAACAACAACAAAAAACCTGGATACCATCTCTATATCTGTTGATTTTTAAATGGTTAAATGAATCAGAGCTCAATATTCTTAAAGGCTGAAAGTGGGTCTGAGTGGGAGGATATTATATATAATGAAAATATTAAATGCTTTGGGAAATGAAAGAGGTCATTGAGGTGAAATGTATGAGAGCTGCCTATTGCAGGAAGGGCTGTCCAGAGTGGAGCAGGAGGAGGAGAGAAAGAAGAGGGGTGAAGGCAGGTGCTGTCTATCACTTTCTTCCTTCCTGCATCCTTTTGGCTGTTTCCAGGAGTTGGGACCATTATGTACCACTCAATGTCTTTTAATTTTTCTATTACTGTAAGTAAGACTGGTCTGCTAGTCAAACTATAATTTTTTTTTTCCTCAAAGCTCCTAACAATGTTTCCGCCCCCCCTCCTCAAGACCTGCCATGCACTTTCAATGTATGTTTAATTCTTTTTTAAAATCTTAATTAATCCCTGAAGTAGGTACCCCAGTTTGCATTTATGTAGAGGCCATTGTCAGTGAATACTAGGAAGAAGTACAGAGAAGAGGATTACTTAGAAAAAGGGCATTATCTTTAGTTTATTCTCCCTTCCTTCCCCCCTCTTTTCTTTTTTCTCATCAGTTTATATTGTGGGTTTTTCATGATTCTTACCTTTTCTGAGTCACAAGCCCTTCTGAGAATCTGATCAAAGTTATGGACTCTGTTCCCCTCTCCTACAAAATGGACCTGCATACATATTACCACAGTTCTCTGAAGGACATTGATAGGTACCCTTCAAATATATGAACCCCAAGTTGAGAACTCTTCTTTATCATAGTGGAGATGGTATCAGAGGAAATAATAGCCAACTGGTGAGGAATCTGCAGCAAGCACAGACTAAAGAGACCTGATGTTCCTTTCTTTTCATTTTGAATGGTTTCAAACAAAGTTTGCATATTTCAAGCATATATCAAAGTAGAGAGATTTGCATAGTGAATCATCAAGTTCCAACGATTTGGTTTCAATAATCAATACACCATGTTGGTCCATCTGTGTCTCCATCCTCCACATACCAGACATTCTATCATTTCATCAGTAAAAACTTAGTGTGTGTCACTAAAGATTAAGGACTCATTTTTATAAAAAAAATGACATTACTGCCAGATCAGGAGATTATTATCATACTTTTAAAGTGACAATAATAAGAGAAAAAAGTGACAGCAATTTTTCAATATAGTCAAATGTATATTTAGTTGTTTAAAAATTTCTGTATCTTATAATAATAATAATTATTATTATTTTTATACTTAGTTTATTTGAACCAGAATCCACACATTCATATTGAAGCCTGACTTTTCAGGTGTTTTGGTTAATGGCTACTGGCTGTTTTCTTTGGTAAGACAGAAAATAGGGGAACAAATTAATCAGTGAATTTTGATCCAATTAGATGAGCAATCTAAATTAAGGAAACTAACAAATAATAAGTTTCCCAACTGGAAGTTTTCAAATGATTGACCTTGTTCCCCTTATTTTGATTTTATAGTCTTAGAGTCTTCCTCCTCTCCAGTTAATGACTGCATTCTATACTGTGTCAGGTATCTGTGGACAGCCCCAGGTATTATTATTAATTGATCTCTGTCCTCTAGATATTAAAAACCAGTGGGAAGCCGAACGTGAACAGTTATCTACATACATAACTTTTTTGCTTGATGAAAAAATACAAGATAGAATATAAAATAGAGGGGAAGGGTGGGTGAATACAGTCCTACTATGCAATGTACATATGTAAAAAATGGAACCATCCTTCTCCTCTCTATTTCCCCCTTTCTTGTCTTAAGGCTCATTTTCTACCCTTAATTCCTAAGGAAGAGCTCTCTACACTTTGTTTCTCTTCCTGGAGTCTTAAATTTCAATCACAGCATTAAGCTGTGTGGCTCAGTACTTAAACCTAAAAGCAAGCTAAACTTCCAACAGTAGCAAATCGCCACCCCCCCCCCCCCCCCCCCGTCTTCCTTACTTATTTGTAGCCTTAGCATCACACACTCTGAGCTCAGTTTTGAAATTTTAGACTTATTTAGACAGTCTATATGCATTTACTGACTATGTCCTTAGGAAGTTTGTTCCCTTCTTATTATCAAGTCTACTGCAGTTTCTCTCAAATTCATTCTCTTTTCTCATTTATTCTACTCCATACTCTCCAGCCCTTTTAATCAAACTCGGCATTTTTTTTTCAGTGCCAGAACCATCCTCACCTTCTTTATTGAGTGCTAATCTGCCCGGAGCTATCATTCTCTCTCTCCTGCTCCTGCTCCACCACTGGCAGCTGATATTCACCTCCTAGATCTCAGCCTCAATTTCCTTCCTTCCTTCCTTTTTTGCCAGTCCTGGGGCTTGAACTCAGGGCCTGGGTGGTGTCCCTGAGCTTCTTTGTGTTCAATGCTAACATCTTATCACTTCAGCCACAGCTTTTTCTAAGCAATTTATTGGAGATAAGAGTCTCACAGACTTTTCTGCCTAGGCTGGCTTTTGACCTACGATCCTCAGATCTCAGCCTCCTGACTAGTTAGGATTACAGTAGCTACCAATGTCCAGCTTGAAAGACTTTCTAGACTATGTTCCACTTCCAAATGAGGCTAACCCCTCCCCACTTATATGCTCTCATAGAACCCTGAAATTCTCCTCAGTAATGAAATCTCATTCTGCTGCTTGAGGGAGGGACTGTGTGTCTTCTCCAACACTGTAGACTGGCACCTAGAATGATTTTTTTTCATATAGTGGATTCTGAATGTCTTTATTAAAGAATGAGTATAATAGCATATACCTAGCTTATTAATAATGCTCACAAGACCCTAAATGGTTTAAGAAAAAAAAATTAACCTTTAATTGGTATCCCTGCCTATCTGTTTTCCTTCCCAAGTCTCTAAGTCCAGCCAGGCTGACTTAACCCAGAACTGCTGCACATGTTCCCACTTTTCTATCTCTGCTCATGCTGTCAGGTCATCTACTTCTGGAGCATGACCTGTCCACAAATCTCCAGTACTCTGAACCCTTACCTATCTTCCAGAACCTGATCAAATTTTCAGTTTATTTCTCCAAGTTAGTATAATTATCTATGCCTCTCAAATACAATGCTGAATCTGAGCAATCTGCTTTTCCAGTAGAAAAACTTCAAAACAAAAAGATTTTGAGAGCTGGGTATCAGTGGCTCATACGTGTAATCCTAGCTACTCAGGACACTGAGATCTGAAGATCAAAATTCAACGCCAGCCACATCTCAAGAAGTCCGAGGCTTCCTTGGCAACAGATGAAGCTGTTTTGTTTGATAGCACTTACTAAGTGCCAAATCTTCCTACAGATCTTTCTAGATATGTAGGTGGAGTTGGGAGTGGAGAAAACATGAAATCTGCTGTCCTTGACCTGAGCTTGGTCCACCTTCTACTTTTTATCACACTTGTCACCTTGGGCCATAATGATTTAATTTCCTTTGGGTCTCAGGCTACTTACTTACAAAATGAGAAATAAAATGGCTGTTATATTTGTATCCCAAAGTATTGAGAGGTTTACATTTAAAAAAACATATCAGCCGTATGCTGGTGGCTCACGCCTGTAATCCTAGCTACTCAGGAGGCTGAGATCTGAGGATCGAGGTTCAAAGCCAGCCCGGGCAGGAAAGACCGTGAGACTCCTATCTCCAATAAACCACCAGAAAAACCGGAAGTGGCGCTGTAGCTCAAGTGGTAGAGCGCTCGCCTTGAGCTGAAGAGCTGAGGGACAGCGCCCAGGCCCAGAGTTCAAGCCCCACGACCGACAAAAAAACAAACAAACAAAAAAACATATCAACTAGGGCTGGGAAGGTGGCTCAGTGGTAGAGCGCTTGCCTTGCATGCATGAGGCCCTGGGCTCGATTCCTCAGCACCACATAAGCCAAAAGAAAAAAGCCAGAAGTGGCATTGTGGCTCAAGTGGTAGAGTTCTAGCCTTGAGGTGAAGAGCTGAGGGACAGCGCCCAGGCCCAGAGTTCAGGCCCCACAACCGGACCCCCCCCCCCAAAAAAAAACATATCAACTAATTTTATTCACCCTACCCTGTCAAAAGCATCTGGACAAATAATACACATAAAGTGTTTGGATGTATACGTTCTGCTGTGATTGCTTGCTTATTTGTGTTTAAACAGAGACCAGATGAAGAAGCTGTAGTGGATCAGGGTGGGACCAGTACTGTTCTCAACATTCACTATGAAAAAGAAGAGTTGGAAGGTAAGAACCCTGTTTGGTGTGAAATTGTTAAGGGAGCTTGGTAAGAGACTGGTCTGGGGTTAGAATAGACCTGGCTTTACCCTCAAAGATTTGGGTTTGAGCCCTAACTTGCTCTCACTAGCAGTAAGATCTTGGGAGGAAAAAAAATCACTAATTATTTTTAGCTTCACCTTCCTCATTTGTTAATAAAAGTAGAGAGAAAGTTCAATATCATGGCTCATGCTTGTAATCCCAGTTACTTGGGAGCTGAGATCAGAGTTGTGGTTCAAAGACAGCTGAGCAGAAAAGCTTATGAGATACCCATTCTCAGCCCAAAGTTGGGTGTGGTGTATGGCTATTATCATAGCTATAACAGGAAGTATAAAATATTGCAGTCTAGTTGTGGGCGCAGGCAAGAAGTGTGAGAACCTATGTCAAAAGTAACCAAGGGCTATAGGCATGGCCTAGAGTACCTACTTAGCAAGCTTGAGGTCCTGAATTCAAACTCCAATTCCAAAAATAAAAAGAAGGTAGAGTAGCTGACAGAGCTATCATTAAGGCATAAAGGATACCAGATACAGTGCTTTGAGCACTGTAAAGAATTGTCTACACATTAGTGAATAACCTCAAAAATGTACAGGACTCAGTTCAGTTTATTGAATCTTGACAATTGTTAAGAAATATGTCTACAGATAATTTTTGTGGTTCTTGTTGGTTGTGGGGCTTGAACTCAGAGTCTGGGTACTGTCCCTGAGCTTTTGTGTTCAAGGTTAGCACTCTAATACTTTGAACCACAGCTCTACTTACAGTTTTTGGGTGGTTAATTGGAGATAAGAATCTCATGGATTTTCTTGTGTACAGTTTTAAAAGAAAAAAATGCAAAATAATTATTAAGAAACCTTAGTGGCTATAAATCCTTCATTTTACTTCAGTTCTAATAGTAGCTCTTCCTACTGTTCATGATACCCAATGTTGCCCAGTGATGCCATCTAAGTAGAAAAAAAGAAAACAAGAGAATTCATCTGTGCCAAACTCCATAAGAGTTACAGTGGAAGGAAGAAGAGGCATTTTTGTTCCTGGCTCTGTCACCTTATTCAGGCTCTTTCTTCCTCCACTCCTTGTCCCCAGCCCTCCACATGACCACTGGGTGATGTTCTTTGCTATTCCTTTATCCCAGGCAGCCCAGTAGGAGCTTTAGCAGTCAGACTCACACATAGTCATGGTTCCTGATTGGTAGTGCTGTGCACTTTTCTTCATCCATCAGAGGAAGGCTCATATCCCATATTGCTTTCATGAGAAGCTATGTTTGGCTCAAAAGTCTTGATGAAATCTCTGCAGCACCCCTTGCACAGTTGAAGGCTGTGATACAGCATGTTTCGGATGCCTGAGACAGCGTGTGAAATGTTCTCTCTGTACGGCTTGTTCCCGTGATGGGTTTTGCATCAAAGATGTGCAACCTCTAGAGAAAACTTGTCCTTTGGATGGGGAGAGCGGAAGCTGTAGAGGCTGACTCAGCCTCTGGGTCTGTTACCACAAGAACTTATGTGGGTGGCGCTGTGGAGGTCAGTGGTATTTGGGTATATCAAGGTCAAGTTTCCCAAGTTACTTTGACCAGTTGGATGTAGAGCCAATGTGGGCTTCAGTAAATGGAAATCAGTAAGAAAAGGAAAACGTTTGGCATTGGAGGCTACTATTTGTTGAATGCCCTTTGTGAGTTAAGCAGCAGATTAGCAAATTGTCTTTTTCAGCTTCCTAGTACCACAGGCAGATGGACATATTACTGTCCCTTTTTACATGGAAGGAGACTTCTCAGGCTCACTACCCAAATAGGGGAAGCTGAGGTAGAATCCTGCCATCTTTATGCTGCCAAACTGCTTACATCCAACTACAGCTGATGCACCATCCTTCATATAATTCTATCTGTCATTCCTGCTCTTCTGTCCTGAGAATCCTGTTGTCTGTCTGTCTTTCTGTTGCACTTTGGAGGCACATTGGTATCCGTTCAGTTGTCCTCTAGCACTTGCTCCTGGACCTTTACCCTCAATAAAGAGAGAAACATTTATAAACACTTTGTCTACTTGGAAGTAGAATAGATCCAAGCTCTCTTGGATCTGAAGGACTTGGTTTATTCCACAGAGGTCAGCCAAGGAACTGGCAAGAGTTCGAGAAGCATCTCCGGATTACATCATCTGATTACTATGCATTCTGCTTTGCTGGAAAAGAAAGCTACATAATGACGATGGCATTACTACAGGATAATGCGTTGGAAAACAGTTCTTTATACTACATAGACTATTCTGAAAACTCAAATGTTTTCTGTGTTAGCACATACACACATAAAAAGTACAAATGGAAGACAATAAGTGCCCATGCCCCAGGTCAGATGCAGTTAAAGAATCGCTCTGGAGAAGAGGGGAAAAGTTGGAGTTGATGGTTAACTGTGTTGTGGTGTCCACCTTGACTCACTGAAGTGTAATGGCAGGACAGAGTGAGACTGTGCAGGGTGGAGGTGTCTTCCTGAAAGGCATAAAATAAAGCCATTTCCAAATGGGTGCAGGTGGCTTATGCTTGTAATCCTAGCTACTCAGGAGGCTGAGACCTGAGGGTGATGGTTTGAAGCCAGCAGGGGCAGACAAACCTGAGTCTTATCTCCAAAAAGCATAACCACCAAAAAACCATAGGTGGAGCTGTGGTTCAAGTGGTAGATTGCCAGCCTTGAGCAAAAAGCTAAGGGACAGCACTCAGGCCCTGTGTTCAAGCCCCAGGATTGGCACTAAATACATACATAAATGAAACCATCCCCACTTTGATGGAAGACAGAAGATTATTGTGTTCTAATTTAGAAGTACACACATAATGATATAAGGCTCTGAGGCTGCAGAAATATCTCTAAATCTCTCTCCCCTGTGTTTCATATCCTCTGCCCACAAGACAGAAGACATTCCTTACCCCATTTTCAGAACAATTGGTGACAGTTAGTATCTGACCCTTGTGAGAAGTTTTGTAAATGTGATTCTTTGCATAATCTAATTCTGCCAGTAACAGATGATACAGGAAACCGTCACGTTGGGAAGAACCAACGTGTTCTACAATGTGTTTATAAGAAGAGTTTCCAGACATTAATTCAAGAAGAACAGCAGCCCATCATGTGCTTCAGTTGCCTCTCTCTGCAACTGGAGGAAAACAAGGCAGTTGCTTTAGTTGAGTAATGGCTTTTTCCATTGTTCTTGGCAGATCATTATTTCTGATTAATTACTAGATTTATGAATCCTTGAGTAAGTTTAATGCCTTCTAATAAGTTTTTAATAGAGGCAAAAGCCATTTGGTTATACCTATAACTTAAAAGTCTTGTGTGTTAGATTTCCCCCTGTGGTTATTGACTGAGTAAATCTGCAAGCCCAGAGGAGCAGAACATCCTTTAGTATGTGTAGCTAAGCTCCGTATGAGTGCTGGGTAAATGTTGTGTGCCTTGCATTATACAATGGTAGACCTAGTCTCTGTCTGCCCAAAGGTTGGTCAAACCCTATGGTTTCTGCCCAGTTACACAGATCATTGTGTTGCTAATGATTATCCTCATCTGATTTTTTAAAGGTACATTGATATTACATTTCTCTTATATGGTTTAGTAAATTAGAATACCTCATTTTGCACATGAGTACCCTCCGATATAGTCAGCACAACACTTAAAAAAAAGTTGAGTGCTAGTGGCTCATGCCTGTAATCCTAGCTACTCAGGAGACTAAGGTCTGAGATCATGGTTTAAAATAGGAAAGTCCATATAAGACTCGTACCTCCAATAAGAAAAATAAGAAAAAAATCAGAAAAAACTGGAAATGGCACTGTGGCTCAAGTGGTAGAGTGCTAGCCTTAAGTACAAAGAGTTTCAGGACAGTGCCCAAGCCCTGTGTTCAAGCCCCAGGACTGGCCAAAAAAAAAAAAAAAAAGATTGAGGAATTAGATGAGTCCTTTATACATTGCTTTTCTGAACGCTAGACATTTCTGTACCAGCTTGAGAATGACATTTGGGTGTGTGGGCGGGCAGATGAAGAACATGAAGACGGGATAGGAGGCACATGAATAAGCAGCAAAAAAGTGGCTACAGGTGAGTTTGCTGAAGTCACTGGGCTTGCAGAATTCAGCTAGATGGACTAAGCTATATTCACTTTCTGGTGTCTGTCATAGCTTCTGCTAATTTTGCTCAAAAAAATTCATATTCCTGCTTCAGAATCGTTAGCCTAGAAACTGATGTCGAATCATCTGACAGCCACTTGATCCTTGGCTCTGACCCCTGCTGAGCTTGTTTTCATTTTTGTCTCTCTGGGTTTTCAAAAGAGAAGCAGAAAGTTCTTTCTCTAAGATTTCGCTTTTATCTCACTTCCTGCAGAACCATTAAAGGCATTTGAAAGGCATTTTCCCCAATGTGTCTCAGACTAGCCTACTAGGAGTTTAGATGTGAAGCAGAACCATACGTTTATTCAACAAACATTTACTGAGCTCTTTCCATGATCTCTCTCTACCACAAATAAGTAAGGAGAGGGAGGGAGAACAGTTAAGCTATTGTGTTATCTGCAAGTGGTGACCTAGCCTGAACCTTTCCTAGGATTTGACCATTTGGACTTGGACTCACCATCAACCAGACAAGGCCTGAGAAGTTTGGCCTACCCTCCTAATTTTTTTTTTTTTTATATATATTAGTGACAAGGGAGTAAACTAGCCAATCAGATGAGGTCTAATAACTGGTTGTAAAACCCACCCATTCAATATTTCTTTAGTATGTACGTAGAATGCAGTAGATCTAATATTAAGTAGCACTACTAACAACTAGGCTCACTGTTGTGAGCCTGGTGGAGGTGTGGGTAATGTGTTCAAAGAGAAGTGGAGGTAGTAGCTGGTTTGGGCTGGTTTTGAGGAAAGAGGAAGTCTATGGCCGAGATGGGTCTAGTAAAAGACTGGCATTACCGTCAGTGAAGCTGTTCTCTACTGAAGTGCAGCTCTGCCTCAATGCATTAGATTTCATAAGACCAAGGTCACTGTGTTAGGGGCCCTTTGAAGTGGTGATAGAATTCTGTTTTTCATTGCTCATGTTTTATTTATGGCCTGCTCCTTCCTACTGTTTTGTCCTTTTCCAACTTCCTTTCCCTCTTTTCACCTGGCTCTGGCTCTACTGGCTGATCTTTGGCCTTGGAAGCAGCCGCATACATCCCAGCCTAGTGGCTTGCTTCTTAATCTTCCCTCTCCTAAAATACTCTCCTCCCAGTTCTTCTCATGATTTTCCCCATTGCTCATCATAGCAATTTCTATTCTATTCTTGTTGCAGACACTTTAGTTGTATGTGTGTGTGTGTGTGTGTGTGTATACACACACAGGCATTATTGGGGCTTGAACTCTGGACCTCGTGCTCTCATATGAGAGGCCAGTGCTCTACCACTTGAACCACACTTCCACTTCTTATTTTAGTACTTTGATTCATTATACTTATCAGTCTTTGAAATACTACCCTTATGTTTGCATGTTGTCCTTTTCCTCCAACTACAGCACATTATCTGAAGAGTTTGTATGGTTCACTCCTCTATCCTCTATCCTCTCTCCCCTGGGACAGAACTTGGCGCAATTAGGTGACTCCAGTCCTCTGCTAATGCCACCTGGGTCAATCTCAGTGATACACCATAGGGACTTCATTGGCATACCAAACTGGAACATTAACAGATGGTATTTAATTTAGTAACTTTCATACTGTAAGCACTTTACATTGACAATGTCAGTGGCCTATAATCTTGTGTTCTAGCAGATGATTTCCTCTGGGGCTGTATTTCTCTCTCTCTCTCTCCCTCTCTCTCTCTCTTTCCCTCCCTCTCTCTCTCTCAGTAGCAAGGTGACTACATTGTGCTCAGAAATCTGCCTGTCAAAAATGTAAGACTGTCTTGAGTCAGGTGGAAAGCAAAAGGTATGATTCCATCAGATACTAAGCATTTTATCTTCCTGTCTCTACATTCTATCAGATCTCTAATCATTTTCTCTTCTAATCCTCACTGTTTCTATTTTCTTTTGTTTTTGTACTTTAGAATTTGGAAAGGAGGGGAGGACAAAGAAAAAGATGGGGAAATAGACAAAACAAATAACACTCCAGGCACGTTAGCATCACTTGAAATTGTGAAACATCAAAGTTTAGTTCAGCACTAGGAAACCCCATTGCTAGGAAAAGAAAATGGCAGAGTTGGCAGCTCTTCTTCTAAACGCTCCTTTTCTGGGGAATACTGTATTCCTGATCAAGTTTTCCTTTCTCAAGTTGGTAAGAATCTTTTTATTCTCCCTATACCCTAGTGATTACTTCATCTATCCTTATCACATTTATTTTGGTTAGATGGTCTTTTTTGTAGGCTTATTAGGATTGGAGGCCCTCTTATGTCAGATTGTGTACTTGTAAGAAGGTCCTAAAGGATTATGCTCCTAAGGAGAGGCATTTAGAAGATATCCTGTTTGCTGAACATTAGTGGAGCAATGACCCTTGGTAAGACATAGTTTGGTTGTCTAGGGCCTCTGGGAAGAAGGTCTGATGTAGGACCTTGAGGAGCTTGCAGATGAGCAGTAGGGATCAGACAGAGAACTTTTTAGCATTAATACAAGGCAGAAAAGAACTGCATGAGAGCAGCTTTAGCCAAGGGCTCTAGGTACATAGAGAAAAGAGGCCACAAGTCTGGTCAAGGAAACCAGAAATGATACCAGGAAGGAAGGTGCATTTGTCATAATAAATCTTGGATGACTGAAAATCCACAAAGCATCAGCACATTTGTGGAACAGCAATTTGATTCAGAAAGAGGAAAACATGGCTGCGGCAGCCAGAGTCAAGAGAGAAGCTGGAGCTGGAGCCAGGCCATTCTGTTGTTGGGGTAGGTAGAGAAGATGTACATCTCTACATATTTTTTTCTTTTAAGAATGCTTGTTCAGTATGAGCATATAGAATTTCCCTTTATCTCTCTTAAGATAATCACTTGGTGTTTTTTGTTTGTTTGTTTTTTGGTGCCATTCCTGGGGCTTGAATTGAGAGCCTAGGCACTGTCCTTAAGCTTTTGTGCTCAAGGCTAGCACTCTACCATTTGGGCCACAACTCCATTTCTGGATTTTTTGGCGCTTAATTGGAGATAAGAGTCTCATTTTCTTGTCTCAGCTGGCTTTGAACTGTAGCTCACAGATCTCAGCCTCCTGAGTAGCTAGGATTATAGGTGTGAACCATCAACACCTCAGCTGCTCACTTGGTTCTTTTAGAAGTCTTTCTTTTTTGTTTTACTTTCAATGTATATTTGGTCCTAAAGGAAGAAAAGACTAGAAAGGAGGTTGAGGTCTAAGAATGAAGAGTCTCGTGTTGTGGCGAGTCCAAAAAAGAAGCCTGTGATCTTTTTCCTCTTAACTGTGAAATTCCTTTTTTCCCTCTCTCCCTTCCCCTCTCTTTTCTGGATGTGCAGGTGCTGGAGCCTGAACTCAGTGCCCTTGCACTCAGCTTTGGATGTGCAGGTGCTGGAGCCTGAACTCAGTGCCCTTGCACTCAGCTTTGGATGTGCAGGTGCTGGAGCCTGAACTCAGTGCCCTTGCACTCAGCTTTGGATGTGCAGGTACTGGAGCCTGAACTCAGTGCCCTTGCACTCAGCTTTTCTCTCACAGCTGACACTCAACCACTTGAGCCATACTATGTTCCTTTTTCTAAAGAAGCTTTCTTCACAGATCTTCCGCTTCCTTCCAGGTCATAGGACTCTGTATGTGGGGGTTCGGATGCCTCTGGGCCGGCAGAGCCATCGGCACCACCGCACCCATGGCCAGAAGCACCGGAGGCGAGGACGGGGCAAAGGGGCCAGCCAGGGAGAAGAGGGCTTGGAAGCACTGGCCCATGGTAACTCCCTAGGGACGGGGTGTGGTTGGGGGGGGGGGAGGAGGATGTTGGGATTTGTCCATAGTGGGGATGGGAGTGATGGTCACGTTGCTTTTGAGGGCCACAAGCAGGCATCTTGATTCTCTAACCCTTATTTTTTATTTATTTATTTATTTTTGGGTCTGATCGTGGGGCCTGAACTCTGGGCCTGAGCGCTGTCCCTTAGCTCTTCAGCTCAAGGCTAGTGCTCTACCACTTGAGCCTCAGCGCCACTTCCAGCTTTTTTCTTTTGCTTATGTGGTGCTGAGGAATTGAACCCAGGGCCTCAGGCATGCAAGGCAAGCGCTCTGCCACTGAGCCACCTTCCCAGCCCCTTTCTAGCCCTTAGGTAGGGTTTTCAGAGCTTGTTCCCAAGAAGAAATGCCTGTAAAAATCCAAAGGATCTTCATGAAAACTGCTCAGTTCAGTCTCCATCATAGTCAATATTATAAGTGAGATTCTTTACTAGAGAATTAGCCATTTCTTTTGATCAAATTTGTCAAGTTTCCAGGTTTTTAAGGGATTTCTAGCAGTGATCTTAGTTCACAGATGTGTCATCTCATGAAACTGCTTCTACAGAACAGCTTTCCCCCCCTCTGAGAATAAAGGAGTTTTGTGGGTTTTTTCTTTCTTTTTTTAAAAATATATTTTTATTGTAAAAATACTGTACAGAGGGGTTACAGTTCCATGAGTAAGGTAATAAGTACCTTTCCTATTGAGCACTGGGCTTTTTTTTTAACCTACAGTAAAAATAGTCTTCCTGAAGTTGTTAGGTGAAACAGAATGCTATTTGTGTTCTGACTTTAAGGCAAGAGGCAGACATTTCTCTCTGGCTGTTTCCCTAGACACACCTTCTCAGCGTGTTCAGTTCATTCTTGGCACCGAGGAAGATGAAGAGCATGTACCTCATGAGCTGTTCACAGAGCTGGATGAGATCTGTATGAAAGAGGGAGAGGATGCTGAGTGGAAGGAGACAGCTAGGTAAGGTCTTTCAACCACCTGGATTAAGATCTGCTTGAAAAGACAGATATATACTGTCCCGACCCGCAGGACGTCAGCAAGGGCAGTGAACCTAAGCTAGAAGGAATGAAGGGACAAGAGACACGAAGAATGACAGCAAGACAAGGATTCTGATCAAGCTGCAAATTTTTATTTTTCACACAGGGGTATTTATATGCTTGGAATAAGGAAGCTTTTTCATTGGCTGTCAGGGAAGCTTCTTCATTGGCCGTAGCAGCTGCAGGATGTTTGCTTAGGGCAGGGGGAAAGGGTGGTCGTTAGCAGTTGCAGGATGTTTGCTTAGGGCAGGATGAGGGTCGGATTCTGTAAACTCAGCCTCAAGATGTTCCAGTGAGATAGTCAAGCCTATTACGTTGAGAGACTCAACTTTTGGCTCCCGACAATATACCTTTCAGCAAGCCATGGGCTTGCCTGCCTTTTTATTTATTTTGGGGTCATGTAATAGCTCTGGTACAGGAGTCTCCTATGGGACATCTTGGTGTTGACCTTTTTGGATGTCCTGGTCATACCTTAAATAGAGTTGGTGGCATAAACGTATGACCTTCAGGGGATCCTGTCTCATTTGTTTGGGGCCTAGAGTTAATTCATAACCGAAGTGCCCCATCCAGCATCTTCTAGACCTCATTGGTCAGACATAGCATAGCTTCAGGCTTTTCTGAAAGTGGACTATAGGGTCATTTGGGTTTGGATTCACTGACAGTCTCAGAATTTATTATTTTATTTGTCAGTCCTGGTGCTTGAACTCAGGGCCTGAGCACTGTCTCTGAGCTTTTTGTGCTCAATGCTAGTACTCTGCCACTTTAAGTCACAGCTCTACTTCTGGTTTTTAGGTGGTTAATTGGAGATAAAATTCTCATAGACTTTCCTTCCTGGGCTGGCTTTGAATTGCAATCCTGAGATCTCAGCCTCCTGAGTAGCTAAGATTATAGCCACCAGCACTATGCTGTCCCAGAATTTTTGAGACTTAACTTCCTCTGGAACAATTCAACTTCACAGTAGTATAGCTAGCTGAACTCTATAACTTTCTGTGGGTAGTTGTAGATCATGCTTAAGTATATGTAGGTCCCAGTAAAGTCCTCAGATCATCAACCAAGGCCATATCTAGTTTCCTCTGTTAATTGATCAGTGTCCTTACTGATGATTCAAAACCATCTTCCTTAACCTTGGGGAGGGTGGTGAAGGAGGAACATTGCTTCCTGTGGCACAAGCTCTCATTGAAATGGCTCTTCTGAATGCCTGCTGCATTGTGTACATTTTCTATGGCTTGAGAGAACAAAATAGGCCAATCAATCTGATACCAAGTGAAAAGGCAATTAGTCTTTGTCTTCTGTCTTTATGGGCTTCTAAGGTTCATACAAAACACTTGAAAATATTATAATTTTGTTAATGTGATTTGTCATTGTAGCCAATTGATAAAGATTACATCTAGTTTTTAATTGCGCAGGCAATGCATGATCATTATAGAAAATTAGAAAATAGAGATAAGCAAAAGGAAGAAAATGATGTATAATCCTTTTATACCAGGGATAATAATGAATGAATTTGGTGTCCATGTACATGTTTGTGCTTTTAAATTTTGCTTTAAATAAAAATGGAGCTAGAGCTGGGAAGGTGGCTCAGTGGTAGAGTGCTTGCCTTGCATGCATGAGGCCCTGGGTTCGATTCCTCAGCACCACATAAGCAGAAAAAGCCCGAAGTGGTGCTGTGGCTCGAGTGGTAGAATGCTAGCCTTGAGCTGAAGAGCTGAGGGACAGCGCCCAGGCCCAGAGTTCAGGCCCCACAACTGATAAAAAAAAAATAGACCTAAACTATCCTCAGTTCTTTACTGTTACATAACTGGCTTTTTCATTCATCAAAGTACCCAGAATGTGTAGATTCAATTCCCCAGTGTTCAGTGTGACTCTTCAGACATGTATCTCCTGAAAAATCCCTCCTTTCTACTTTGGGATGTGGTTATGTGCACTGCTTTCAGGTGGCTGAAGTTTGAAGAGGATGTTGAGGATGGCGGGGAGCGCTGGAGCAAGCCTTATGTGGCAACTCTTTCACTGCATAGCCTCTTTGAGCTGAGGAGCTGCCTTATTAATGGAACTGTCCTTCTGGATATGCGTGCAAATAGCATTGAAGAAATTTCAGGTAAGGTCAGGTGAGGGAAAACAGAGCAACTTTTGTGTAAGTAAAGAAGTATGGTACAGAACAAAGAACAGGTATGTGTGTGTATGTCCTTAAGTCATAGCTTTCCTGATCTCAGTGTCCTTGGCTGTGGGATGACTTTCAAGCTAGGCTTATGACGGGATTCACTGACAAGGTCTTTACCCCTCTGTTTGCCCTGTCATTCAGCAAGACATTTATTTTGTATCTACTATCTGCTGCATGCCATGCAAGGAAGGCATAGGATTATAAAGATCAGTCAGTCCAGTGGGTGAGGTCGCCATGGAAACAACAATGAAAGTAAATGCAGCAACGGAGATGCTAAGGAGTCACTAGAGAAAGGCACAGCTGGGAGTTGTGCAGAGAATGAGATAATGAGGATTAAAGATTTTTCAATAAGGTATCTAAGGCAGATGTGCAGAAATTGAGCCATAATGCTCACAGTCTGGTGACTTACCACACCAGAAGTGAGTTTCCTCACAGTTCAAAGGCTACAAGCCCCAAATCAAGGTCTATATAGGGCTCTATCCTCCCTGAGGGCTCCTAAGAAACTTATTCCTTGCTCCTCTGGCTTCTAGCCTCTGGTGACTCCAGATGTTCTTAACATCAGTTGCCTAATTCCCATTTCTGCTTCTGTCTTCATGTGGACTTCTATGTTTCACTTCAATGTGTTTTTACAAAGATGATTTTTACTGGACTTAGTGCCACCCCAATAATACAAAATTATTTCATCTTGAGAACTTTAGTACATATATAAAGACTTTTTTTTAAGAAATAAAGTAGGTCTCAGTGGGGAGTTAGGCCATAGACCTTTTTTGCAGGATGTGGCTGGAACATTCAACCAATTAAGAAAGCCAGCCATTTATTAAGTTTCAGCTTAATAAATGATTTATAGAGGCTGTGTGAGATGAGGACCAGAACACCTGTGGCATTCAGCAGCTGGAAGATTATTGGTAATTTCTTTTATGAAAAGCACTTTCTTAAACTGGGTGCTGGTGGCTCATGCCTGTAATCCTAGCTACTCAGGAGGATTGAGGTTTGAAGCCAGCCCAGGCAGGAAAGTCTGTGAGACTTATCTCCAATAAACTACCAGAGAGCTGAAAGTGGAATTGTGGCTGGAGTGGTAGAGCAAGTAGCCTTGAGTAAAAAAAAAAAGAAGAAGAAGAAAGAAAAAAGAAAGAAACAAACAAACAAAAACTCAGGGACAGCACCCAGGTGTGCGCACATGCACTCATGCATGCGTGCGTGCATGCACACGCAAACACACACACACTTTCTTTGGAATAGCTAAGAGGGCTGAGGAATTTTTGTTGTTGTTGAGCACTTTAAGCAATAGGAGAAAAGATAAAGGAGGCAACAGATCCAGGAATATCTGGGGTAGACTTTTTTTTCTGCTTTCAAGATGAAGAATCCTAAAGCATAAGGGAAGAAATGGAGGAGAGAAACCAATTGATACAAAAGGTAATGAGGGGCTGGGAAGGTGGCTCAGTGGTAGAGTGCTTGCCTTGCATGCATGAGGCCCTGGGTTCGATTCCTCAGCACCACATAAGTAGAAAAAGGTGGAAGTGGTAGAACATTAGCCTTGAGCTGAAATGCTGAGGGACAGTGCCCAGGCCCAGAGGTCAGGCCCTACCCTCGGACCCCAAATAAACAAAAAAAGTTAATGATACAGGGACATGGATCTTTGGCTTGAATATGACGTAGGTTTTCCTCATGTGTTGCTCTTCTTACTTGGGTAATAGCTTGAGAGATGGGGGAAGCTTGAGATATGTATACAGGACTCAAGTAGACTGCCATGGGTCTTCACATGAGGCACCCCAATATTAGATCAAGAATTTGACCTGAGCAATTTTTCATGTTCCATAACTGTCTTCTATGGTGGGTGGTAATTTTTAAAAAATTTTTATTGTCAAGATGATATACAGAGGGGTCTTAGTGATGTAATTAAGGTACATTTCTTGTCAACTTTGCTACCCCGACCCTCAATGGTGGATGGTAATTTTGGCTGCACTTTATAGGTAAGGAAACCAGGCACAGATGATGTAACTTTCTTAAGATCATTCAGGTAGAAAATGATAGAACTGGGATAAACGTGGACCTGTAACCTAGAACCCTCATTCTTATCAGCTGTGTTGACAATACTAAGATCCCCACACACACATTGTGTAGGAATTAATATGTTAAAGGTAATTTTTCTTATATGCTCCACTTTAGAATTCTGTACTTACAGTCTTCTTGACAACCACAGCAATGTTAAACAGTTGGTGAATGGGAATGTAGGGGAAATTTGGTAGGTAATAAAACAATGCGGACTTTCAAGTTCGTTCCAAATATATACTCCAGCTCTGCAGCTTACTAAGTGTCAGAGCTGGAGGACTTTTATAACATTTAGGCCTCAAGTTCTTCATGTGTAAAAACTGTTATAGTACCGCCTTTCTCAGGTCTCTCTCTCCTCTGTCTTGATGGTACTGAGACTTGAGCTTATTGTCACTTGAACCACCACCTCCTAGACCTTTTTGCATTTATTTGCTTTTTTTTAAAAAAGAGAGAGTTGTGTTTTTGCTTGGTTTTAGACCATGATCTTCATAATTCTGTTTCTCACATAGCTGTGATTATATGCATGTATCATCATACCTACCTTGTATTTGAGATAGGGTCTGTCTAACTGTGCCTGGGCTATCCTCCGTAGCAAGACCCTGTCTCACAAGCAAATACAAACAAACATCATTACTTTATAAGGCAGGGTGTGTGTGTGTGTGTGTGTGTGTGTGTGTGTGTGTGTGTGTGTGTGTGTGTGTGTGTGTGTGTGTGTGTGTGTGTGTGTGTGTGTGTGTGTGTGTGTGTGTGTGTGTGTGTGTGTGTGTGTGTGTGTGTGTGTGTGTGTGTGTGTGTGTGTACCTGTGTGGTACTGGGGCTTGAACCCAGGACCTCCCACTTTCAAAACTCACTTGGCTTTTTCTGCTCATGAATAGCTACTACTTGCTCTACATCTCCATTTCCTGCATTTTGCTGGCTAATTGGTAATAAGAGTCTCAGTTTTGTCTGCCCAGGTTTGCTCTAAACTGAGATGATCAGATCTCAGCCTACTAAGTTTTTGTTGTTGTTCATTCCTCTAAGGATTAGATTATATGTAAGTTTATAGAATATTTCTTGGCACGTTTTTAGGTGCTCAGTAGGTTTTTGTCTTAATTATTTGAGTGGGGGCATGGTAGCATGCACTGTCACTGGAGGCTGAGGCAGGAGGATCACTTGAGCCCAGGAGTATATGGTCAACTTAAACACTGTCTCTTTAAAAAAAAACCCAACAACCATTGTTGTTGTTGAATGAATAAAAGTATAACTTCAGCTGGGTGCTGGTGGCTCACACCTGTAATCCTAGCTACTCAGGAGGCTGAGATCTGAGGATCACAGTTCAAAGCCAGCTTAGGCAGGAAAGTCCACGAAACTCTTATCTCCAATAAACCACCAGAAAACTGGAAGTGGAGCTGTGGCTCAAGTGGGAGAGCACTAGCCTTGAGCTGAAGAGCTGAGGGACAGCGCAGACTCAGAGTTCAAGCCCCAGGACCAACAACAAAAAAGTATAACTTCATAGTCATGGTCATCCCATAGCTCTTTTAGACACTGAAAGTAAAGTTGTCCCTCACGGACCCCAGGGGGCCTACTTCTCTTTCCCCTTCCCCCATTCTTTCTGATGTTAGTTTCCATGGGTTTATGCAAGTGCCTACTTTCTAGACCTGATACTGGACCAGCAAGAACTGTTCAGTGACCTGAATGACAGCATGAGGGTCAAAGTACGGGAAGCTCTTCTCAAAAAGCATCATCATCAGAATGAAAAGAAGAGAAATAACCTCATTCCTATTGTTCGCTCCTTTGCTGAGGTTGGCAAGAAGCAATCGGACCCACACTCAATGGATAAAAATGGTAAGGTTATTATGAAAGATTTGTGTTTCCCTTTATTAGTAAGATGTTTGGGACCCAGCAGTGGATGCTGACTTACTGGAGTGGGAAACATGTCTAACATGTTTCCATGGCTACACCAAAATATACAGTGTCTGTTGAGTGGCTGAAACTGGTCCTCACCGATCTCTTCCTTACATACTTGGACAATAGCAGCCATTCATCTGATTACTGGAGAGATTTTTAATAGAGTGGATTTTTTACACTAGTGGGGATTGAACTTAGAGACTCATGTACTCTACCACACCACCAGTTTTCTTATGTACTTCTTCTTCTTTTTTTTCAATTTAATTTTATTTTATTTGTGAACATACTGTACAGAGGGGTTACAATTACATGGGCAGGATAATGCGTACATTTCTTACCAAGCATTGCAGCCTCCTCCTTTGGTTTACCCTTCACATCCCTTCCCAGCCTCCCCCCTCCCCCCCAATCCCAATCCTTCTCCTTCTCCCTCTTATGTACTTCTTATGCTTTTGCTAGGGCTCAGTGGATCCAAGATGGAGGACTTGGGTTCCAGGGTGCTCTCAAGATAGATATGAGAAGAAAATACTGTGGGGGTGGGAGAGACAGGGTGACATTGTACAAAATGAGTGCCTGAGCTTCTTTTGCTCAAGGCTAGCACTCTACCACTTGAGCCATAGCATCACTTCTGGATTTTTCTGTGTATGTGGTACTAAGGAATTGAGCCCAGGGCTTCATGTATGCTAGGCAAGCACTCTATCACTAAGCCACATTCCCAGCCCTCTTTACCTGACTTCTGTAACTATACCCCTCTGTACATCACCTTTATAATAACAATAAAATAATATGTATTAGGGATAATTTAGGACCAATGGAAAACAAGTCTTTTAAGATTAAACAAATGTTTTAGGTCAGGGAAACAAAATATAGTAGTTTATAGCTGGGCACTGGTTGCTCACAACTGTAATTCTAGCTACTAAGGAGGCTGAGATCTGAGGATTGCAGTTCAAAGCTAGCTGGGGCAGGCAAGTCCATGAGACTTTTATCTCTAATAAATGACCAGAAAACTGGAAGCAGCAAGCAGCACTGTGGCTCAAGTGGTAGAGCACTAGTCTTGAGCTGAAAAGCCGAGGGACAGCTCCCAGGCCTAAAATTCAAGCCCCAATATATATATATATATATACATATATATATGTATATGTATATATACACAAATTTTTTTGTATATATAGTAGTTTAGAAGCTAGAGTTAGACTTCTAGGTTTATGATCCTAGCTTTACCACTTGTGAAGTAAGTGGTAACCTGCTAAACCTCTTTTTTAAGTCTTACTTGTAAAGACAGTTATATTGTCTACTTCAGTTATTGTGAAATTCACACAAGTTAGTCTATATAAAATAAGGCTTTTAGCTGGGGGCTGGGGGCTCAGACCTGTAATCCTATTTAAGAGGCTGAGATCTGAAGATTGTGATTCAAATCCAGCCTAAGCAGGAAAGTCCAAAAGACTCTTATCCCTAATTAACTACCAGAAGTGGGGCTATGGCTCAAGTGGTAGAGAGCAAGTTGTGAGGGGGAAAAGAAAACTAAGGGACAGCAGGAGGCCTTGAGTCTAAGCCCCAGTACTGGCACTCCCCCCCCCCCCAAAATTAAAAGAGGGCCATAAATATGTTTGGGAAGGTACAGCAGTAATAAGACCTCTGTCCTTACCACTAGGTAGTAGATAAGAACAGAGGTGTGAATTTGACTTCATAGTTCCCTTAACCTCTGCTCTAGGTAACCTTTGTAGAAGACACAGCCAATAGATGATAGATGGGGAATGTCAGACAGGGGGAAAGGCAGTCATTTAGTGGATTCTGGTCTATTTTCTCCAAATAGGTCAAACTGTGTCTCCCCAGTCTGTTCCAACTACAAATCTTGAAGTGAAAAATGGAGTGAATTGTGAGCATAGTCCTGTGGACTTAAGCAAGGTAAGTAGAGATGTAGGAGGGTGGCATGTAGACTAAGGCTATCCCTAGTGGGTCTCTGCACCCGGCTGCCAGAATCTATATGAGTGTTGGCATTTCAGGACCCTTTCTCTTTCTTTTCTGGGGAAAATGAGACTCATCTACTCCTGTAGTCTCCCTTCTACCCAGTTTGAGTGAGGCCGATTTGTCAGTTTCTTCCTCCAGACCTTTATATTAAAGGTTGAGACTAGCTACAGTGTCTTTCTGAACCCAGACCTCCTTCCTATTTGTCAGTTATTTTTTTAGTTCCTGCCTTTGTGTAGTTGCTTTCATTGCCAAGGGTTTCATCAAAACAGTATTTTTTTTTTTTGCTAATGCCAACTAAAGCTACCCCATGGTTGAAACACTTCTTGTGGACTACAGGTGTAGTGTCAGAGGTCTTCTGCAGGAGCAAGTCCATGCTGCAGTTTCTGGTCCAGGCCTGAGTCCCCTATCTCAGCCTCTCCCTGCTCTGGTCTAACCTGCTCTGGACACTAACTTTCTGAAACATAATGGTGTGTGTCAAGTACTCTGTTAATAGGATTCCTGTTTTCTTTAGAAGGCCTGGAATCTCTGTCAAAGAATTGAAGTATTTAAAAAGGGAAAAGCTTTAACAGTTCCCTCTGAGGAGACATGATAGAATGAAAGTCAAATCAGAATACGTAGGTTTAAATTTTACTTTTTAATCTTACAAGCTCTAGAGTCCTGGGCAAGTCAATATTGCCTCTCTTGGTTTTAATTCCTTTTTTTTTCCTTTCCTTTTTTTTTTTAAAAGTATAGAATGAATATGACATCCTGCTCATAGACACAGTTTTTTATAAGGATCAAATAAAACAGCAATGAGAAAACATTGGTTAACTGTAAAGGAACATGTGAATATAAGGTCTGAAGAGAGCGATGGCTGTTTTGAGATGAGGGCTCCCAAATTGTCAGAGGTTTTTTTTTTTTTTTTTTTTTTTGAACTTTCAGGTGGATCTTCATTTCATGAAAAAAATTCCCACTGGGGCGGAGGCCTCCAACGTCCTGGTTGGAGAGGTGGATACCTTAGACAGACCCATCGTGGCCTTTGTGAGGCTATCTCCAGCTGTGCTTCTCTCAGGACTCACTGAAGTGCCCATCCCAACAAGGTAAAGGCAGTAGAAAAAGCCCAAAACTGCGAGTACTCAATCTGGAGAATGATATTTAAAACTTAGAAACCTGGGATATATTTGCTTAACTCTTGTGCAGAGGAGCTTTTGACCTTCACGGCTGTGTGTGTGTGTGGCTGCATGGCTCTCGCTTCCTGGGAAATGGAGACCCTGAGGCATCACAAAGGCTAGTTGCATGTTCTGTCACAAGACCTAGGTGTCACTCTCCCAGTTCTATAGAGCCACAGCTCAGGAAGCATCTTCTAGCAAAAGTATTGAGATCTCTACATAGTTCTGCCTGCATTTGTTCAAAGGGCTATTCATGCGCCCAGAAGATGAGGATGCTAGTGATTCATGCCCCACTAATTATAGAGAGTGTTCAGATTGTTCACAATACAACTTTGACTCCCCTGTAGAAGCTTCCTTCTCACTCTCCTTTCCCTACCATTTTCTTATTAGAACAACAAATGGGAATCATAACCTTGAATTGTACAACAATGCTGTTTCGAAAAGATATCTTTTCTATAGCTAGGAATTGTGTCTATGGAAACCCTAAGAAATATAACCACATTGTTGCAAGATACCATACAAATAGTTTCCAATGCCCTAGTGGAGCTATGGCAACTTGAAGCACTATATATTAACATGTCTCCTGTTTTTTTAAACTTTTTAAAAATCAGCATACTTTAGTTATATAAGGAAGTTTCACTGTGATAGTTCCACACCAGTGTTACCAGTGTTACCTGATCAACTTTACCCTCTCTATACTCTCCCTCATTCCCCCATCCTACTTTTTAAAACAATTTCAACAGGTTTTATGATTCGGTTTTCATACTTTTACGTAAAATATCACCCTCTTTTACCCTCTCTTTTGGCCTTCTGCCCTGCCCTTGCTATCTGCCCCCAATATAACTTACTTTACTTTCCTGTGATCAATTTTTAGTATATAGTAGTTGTACAAAGGGGTTTAAAATGGTATTTCACACGTGCATATATTATATTTTAATCAGACTAACTCCTTTTATTGGTTTCTTTTTTTCATATTCCCGACTCCATATTATTCAATAGTTTTCAGGGTATATCTTTTTCTTTTTTGGGTGAAAGTTCAATCTTGCTTTGTGTTGAGTAGAAAAGAAAAATGTTTTGCTGCTTTAGAGGGGAATAAGATGCCACTTCTTCATATTTACTTACATGACTTCTTTTGTATGTGTTTGGCAGATTTTTGTTTATCTTACTGGGTCCAGTAGGTAAAGGCCAGCAGTACCACGAGATCGGCAGATCCATGGCCACCATCATGACAGATGAGGTACACGCCACTTCTGCTTTTCATTCCTCCATCACATAAGCAATTTATTGAGTGGTACTCTGTTCTAGACACTGTGCTAGTTGTTGACAGCAACACAATCACAATTGCAGTGTCTTCTAGAAATGTGTGGGCTGCCTTTCATCATTCCTCTGACTGGGAGGTATATTTTGTGGAGGACTCCCATTTAGTAATTTATGAAGTTTTTCCAAACATTATGACCAAGAAAAATTTTCACACATATTTTTGTTCCATGTTTTGTGGAGATAACAGGATTATTTGCCTTTTTCATATCTTATCTCTTCTTATACTAGCAGACACATATATTTAGTGTCTTTTGTCCTGTATCATCTTTAGGTAGATTTGGTTTTTGTTTTATGGGGTTGTTTGTTTTGGGATAGGTCTTGCTGTGTAGCTTAGGCTGGCCAGAAACTCATAATTCTCCTGCCTCAGCTTCCTAAGTACTGAACTATGGGCATAAGCTACCACATCCAGCTTTAGCTTCATTTTTTTAAAAGTCTTTTTCTCTGTTGCTTTCACTCATTGGCTAATGCTCTACCAACTGATCCATGCCTCCAACATCTCCTTTTGCTTCTCTAAATGCTAAGATTTTTGCTTCTCAGTTTCCATGACAGAAGTAAGAATCAAGTCTGTCTCCATCTGCCACCATAGCCATTAGCAAGCGTTTCCAGTAACTGACAGTTCTCCTAAGGATTGTTTCTTCTCTGTAGATTTTTCATGATGTGGCGTATAAAGCAAAAGAGCGAGATGATCTCCTGGCGGGGATTGATGAGTTCTTAGACCAGGTGACAGTGCTCCCTCCAGGAGAGTGGGACCCCTCCATTAGAATCGAGCCACCCAAAAATGTCCCTTCCCAGGTAAGGTATGCACATTAGTCATTGGTGGCTGGTGTCAGGTACTGGGTATCCAGCATGTGGGCAGAGAAAAACAATATGTGGGTATATGCTAAATAAACGGAGACATAGCCCTGTTTGGGAACTCCTGAATGTCAGAAACAGTAATAAAAAAAGTAAATCTACAGTGACATAGATGGTCTCAGGTGTGGTGATATGTCAGGTTACCTGAAGGACTAATATAGAATGGCTGAAAGAAGAGGAAACAAAGGGCAAGTTGTACAGATAGTTCCCCATACTTTTCTGACATATTAAGAGTGGAAAGAGGGGCTGGGAAGTTGGCTCAGTGGTAGACTGCTTGCCTTGCATGCATGAGGCCCTGGGTTCGATTCCTTAGCACCACATAAGCAGAAAAAGCTGGAAATGGAGCTGTGGCTCAAGTGGTAGGGTGCTAGCCTTGAGCTGAAGAGCTGAGGGATAGTGCCCAGGCCCAGAATTCAGGCCTCACAACCAACAGCAACAACAACAAAAAAAGAGTGGAAAGAGAACTATTGTGTACCAGGCACCAAAGCAGTGGCCTTCCCAGAAACAGTCCAGAAAGGCATTATTACTCTTAGTTTATATGTGAGGACTGTAATGATTTTTTTTCTTTGTGATGGACATGGGGCTTGAACTCAGGGCCTGGGCACTTTCCATGAGCTTTGTTTGTTTGTTTGTTTTCCCTCAAGGCTAGTGCTCTACCACTTGAGCCACAGCTCTACTTCCAGGTTTTTGGTGGTTAATTGGAGATAAGATTCTTACAGACTTTCCTGCTGAGGCTGGCTTCCAACCTGATACTCAGATCTTAGCCTCTAGGATTACAGGCACTATCCACTGGCATCTGGCTTAGGGCATGATTTTAAGATAAAACAATATTACACATAGATGTGTGGAAATGTGATAATAAAAGCTCCCTCTGTGTAACTAAAGTAAGCTAAAAAAAATAAAGAAATGTGTCCCTGTTCTGGACAAAGTGGTATCAACTTCATGGTGCTCATCTTATTTCAGCCAGGGACAAAACAATATCATATTTACCATAGCATGAGTTTTGATTTATGCCTAATACCTGGTTCATGCCTTGGACACATGTGGGAAAAAAAGATGGTCCATTAAAAAACGATTATTCACAGAAGCAGATTTACTAAGTAGAACTTGTTGTGTTTGATGCCAACATCTCCATTTTTCTGTTTCAGAGAAAGACATGGTAAGGAGTTAGGTTCTATTGGAAGGGAAAAGAAAAGTTATATATGTGAATGCATGTGTATTTTTTTCTGGGGAAGTTAAGTCAGTAAGTACATTTGAAAGCTGCAGTTGAACATTGCTGTTATTGTTGTGTTTATCTTGTCACTGTTCCCTGCTCTTATCAGGAAGGATAGATATATGCTGACCTTGCTAATTTTGCGGTCCTCTGTTTAAAGGAGAAAAGGAAAATGCCTGGAGTTCCAAACGGAAATGTTTGCCACATCGAACCAGAACCACATGGGGGTCATAGTGGGCCAGAGCTCCAGCGCACTGGGCGGTAAGTGCTGGCGTGGGCTGCGGCAGTGCAGATGCTGTGTGACTGAGTAAGGCATCCTGTTCGTTTTTTGTGAGGCAGTATTTAAGAATTGTTACATATCTTTTAAGTATGTCTTCTATTGTCTTGTGATGCCTTTTCTTTTTTCTTTTTATGCTAGTCCTGGGGCTTGAACTCAAGGGCCTGGGTGGTATCTGAGCTTTTCTCTTCAAAGTAGCTCTATACCACTGGATCCATAGCCTCATTTCCAGCTTTTTTGGAGCTGTCTTCTCAAATGGAACCATTTACTAACATATTAACAACTCTATTAACTATTGTATTCATTCATTCACAGTTCTTGAACCACCTGCCATATTCTGTCATTCCTCCAGTCCTTCCTACACTGTTCTATCTTCCTCTTCCTGAACTTTTGGCTAACTTTGCTTTCACTATCTCAGCTTAAGTGTCTGTTCCTTTGGAAAGCCTTTGTCACTCTCTAGAGTTGAAGTTAGGTGTTCCTGTTATACAGTGTCATAGCACTGGGCTCTAACTCCTCCCTCCTCCATTTCATCTTTTATTATTATTATTTGATGTATAGTGTTCCCTGCTTGGCTGTTTGCTCCAAAAGTACAGGGACTCCATTATATCCCTAGCTCCTAGCAAAGTGTTCTACACAGAGCCAGTACCCATTATTTGATGAATGAATTTTTTTTGGGGGGGGGGCAGTCATGGGGCCTGAACTCTGTTCCTCAGCTCTTCAGCTCAAGGCTAGTGCTCTACCACTTGAGCCACAGTGACACTTCCGGCTTTTTCTGCTTATATGGTACTGAGGAATTGAATCCTCATGCATGCAAGGCAAGTGCACTACCACTGAGCCACCTTGCCAGCCCCTAATGAATGAATACTTTTAGAATGATACTGATTGTGTAACATGGAATAGATAGGTGTGGTGAAAAGGATGGTTATCATTCTAGGTTGAGAAACTCTTTTGAGAGGTAAGTACTGTCTTAGCTGTGTGTCTCAGAAAAGAAAGCTAATCTTCTAGGCTCATATTTTAAAGACAGACATCCATGGGACAGGTCTCTTAGGGTAAGTCTTAGCTGTGTGTCTCAGAAAAGAAAGCTAATCTTCTAGACCCATATTTTAAAGACAGACATCCATGGGACAGGTCTCTTAGGGTAAGTGAAGGTATTTTCAGATCCCTAGACTAGGAGGCTCTATTTGCCAGGTAATGAGGATGGTAAAGAGTATGATTTTTGTCATTAGTATGACTTCAGTGCTAGCCACAGATAATGGAAAAAGATTGAGATCATTTGTACCTTTGGCTGTGTCTAAGAAGGATTTGCCTAGTGAAGATCATCAGGGAAGGACTTGCATCATGAAAAGAGTTTTCTATGTCCTCTATTTCCTTGGTTTTAGCTTCTTATTTCCTCCTTGCTTGATGTTATTTCTGTTCCTTTCTATCCTCAGAACCACTCCTTGGAAGCTAAAGGTCTTTTGGAGTTGTGGAGAGTGATTTATTTTTCTGTTCTTGGAAATTCAGGAATAGACAGAAGAGATAGAAACAAGAGAGAATAACACATAACTAACAATGTCCCGTTGGAAGATTATGTTTTCTGGCTGGAGGATTGTGTTTAAGTGTGGGAAAAAATAACTGGTTTGGGAGGGTGTGATGGCAGAAAGGAGTCTTTGAATGGAATGGGCCACTGTGAAGAGGGAGCAGGTTCTGAGAGAAATAAGCTCTTCTAAAGTTGAGAGATGGCCTGGAGTTAAGAAGCAAGGCAAGAGGCATCTGTTCTTAGAGTGGTTATAAAGGAGAGACTGGGGCTGGGCATGTGGCTTAGTGGTATAATGAGTGCCTAGCATTCATGAAGCCCTGGGTTCGATTCCTCAGTACCACATAAACATAAAAAGGCTCAGGGACAGTGTGCAGACCCTGAATTCAAGCCCAAGGACTGGCAAAAACACAACAGAATCTGTCCCAGAGGAGGTGTGTGTGTGTGTGTGTGTGTGTGTGTGTGTGTGTGTGTGTGTGTGTGTGTGTGTTTCAGGAAAAGGTATAATATCTCAAAATTATGACCTATCTTTCTAACATATAAAGTCTATATCTTAGGATTTAGAGCTTGAAAGTAGTGGGATTGAAGACAGTAGGATTTTTTTTCTCAAACAGGTATCTGTGCAGAGGTGACATTTCAGGTTGCTTTTAATGACAAAGAAAATAGAATAAACTAGGGTCTCATGCTTGTAAGACCATGCTTTGGAAGACCATCATGTTGGATCTCAACAGAAATAAGAGCTGATTTCCTCAAAGGAAAACCTCACATTGATAGGACTACCACATGCTTAATCACAGTCCCCCACTAGAGTGGGGTTTGAAGTTCTCTCAGAATGTCACATCAGTAACTTCTGGAATTGACAAAGCAAAAAGGAAATGCTGGGCTCAGGGCTGAGTTCTTCTTGGTAGTCCTTTTTCTGACTATGTTTACCTCTGTCCCCTTAGTAAAAGACAGGACATATGACCTTCCTCCCATTGTAGCCTAGTTGGCCAAATGACCTGCATCAGAGAACACAGGTCTTCTTCATCCCATTTCAAACTATGTAGAAGGCCGAGAGAAGCTTCTCCGCAGTTGAAGTTTTTGGCTCCTTGACTGCACAACCCAAACACATGATTTGTAATTCCTTACACTACTAGTTATGTTTCTCTGCATGTAAAACTCACTTCGTGAGTATCCTGTTTAATCTTGAGGCAAAACTGATGAAGTATTTGAAGATGGAGTAGAATAAATTCTGAGAAGGTATGAAAAGAAACAGCTGAGAACAGTGCCCTGAGTTGGGTTTTAATCTGACCATCCAAGACAGGGCCAAGACAGCATCCTGAACCCCCCTGCTGTTACCATAGGCCGGGATGCCAAATGTAACAGAGAGGGCAGTATGATGAGGATCTTCCTATAAGTCCAGACTCAACATAGCAAGATGCTCTGGAAAAGGATTTTCTCAAGCAGATTTATATTCTTCATTTGAGATGCTAATTTTGGGGAAAGATCAATGAAGAAAGAACCAGGAGCGGTGTCTTGGTGATTCCTGCAAGGTGTTCAGGCAGGTTTCTTTTCTTTTTTTTTTTTTGGTCGGCCGTGGGGCTTGAACTCTGGGCCTGGGCGCTGTCCCTCAGCTATTCAGCTCAAGGCGAGCGCTCTACCACTTGAGCTACAGCGCCACTTCCGGTTTTCTGGTGGTTTATTGGAGATAGGAGTCTCATGGTCTCTCCTGCCCGGGCTGGCTTTGAACCGCAATCCTCAGATCTCAGCCTCCTGAGTAGCTAGGATTATAGGCATGAGCCACCAGCGCCCGGCACAGGTTTCTTTTTTTTAAAAATAAGTTTTTTATTGTGAAAATACCGTACAGAGGAGTTACAATTACATGGGTAATGAGTGCATTTCTTATCAAGCATTGTTGCCTCCTCCTCTGTTTTTCCCCTACCATCCCTTCCCTCCCATCTCCACGACTACACTCCCCCCACCCCTGCTGCCTAAATTGTAAAGTTCGATGTTCAACAGTGTCTTGTACATCTCATTGTTACAATGGGTCAACCTGTATCCGTATTTAAACATTTCCTTTTTCCCCTCCCCTCCCCAAATTATACCAACATCAAATACAGTAAAAACAGGGGTTGTACCATGGGAGAGGAACATACAAAGCAACAAAAAAATTACATGGTACCTTATAAATACATTAGAAACAATAGCAAGAAAGAAAAGAACCACTTGTGTCTCTATCTTGGGGTTCATTTCGCTTAACATCCTCTTATTTGGTCATATATACATAGCTTTTGACCTTTTCTGCGTGTCCCAGACATATACTAGTTATTGCAAGTAAGGGAAACCATATACATAGCTAGGAAGATCAATAGAATGCCCACAGATTGGGAGAAGATCGTCACTAGCCAGAGAATGGATAAGTATCTCATATCTAAAATATACTTAGAACTTAAAAAATTAAGTCCCCCAACAATAAATCCTCAAAGAAACAACTGCCCGATAAATAAGTAGGCTAAAGACGTAAAGAGAAATTTCTCTGAAGAGGAAATAAGAATGGCCAATAGACACATGAAGAAATGCTCAACCTCCCTAGCCATAGAAGAAATGCAAATCAAAACAACATTGAGATACCACCTCACCCCAGTTAGAATGGCTATAATCAAGAACTCTAATAACAATGATGCTGGAGGGGATATGGACAGAAGGGAACCCTACAGCATTGTTGATGGGAGTGTAAACTTGTCCAACCACTTTGGAAAGTAGTATGGAGGTTCCTCAAAAGACTCCACATAGAGCTCCCCTATGACCCAGCAATCCCACTTTTGGGCATTTACCCAAACGATCACAAACAAGGCCATACTCAAGCTACCAGCACAACTATGTTTATTGAACCAATCCAGATGCCCCTCAGTAGATGAATGGATCAAGAAAATGTGATATATATATATGAATTCTATGCCTCCATCAGAAAGAACGACATTGCCCCATTTGCTAGGAAAAGGAAAGACTTGGAAAAAATTATATTAAGTGAAGTAAGCCAGGCCCAAAGAAACATAGGTCCCATGGTTTCAAGCAGGTTTCTTCTAAAGCACACAACTGGCTGGCTGGCCTGTCCCTATATCCTTCCAGGGAAGAGCTCCCTAAGCAGTGCTCCAGAGCGTAGTCGCCTTTTGCATGGGTAAGTTCCTTCATGTATCAAGCTTTAAAATACATATTCTTGTGTGTCTTTTGCCATCAAAAAACTTGAGCATAAAGGACTGTGTTGAAAGGGAAAGGAAGATTTAAATATGAAGTGAAGCATCTATGGCTGAGGAATGAATTTCGTAGAGGTATATTACAGTCTGATTTTATGACAAATGAAGTATGAAATTACCTCCATAAAAGAATTCTGAATGGCTGGGAAGGTGGCTCAGTGTTAGAGCGCTTGTCTTGCATGCATGAGGCCCTGTGTTTGATTCCTCAGTACCACATAAGCAGAAGAAGCTGGAAGTGGCGCTGTGGCTCAAGTGGTAGAGCACTAGCCTTAAGCTGAAGAGCTGAGGGACAGCGCCCAGGACTAGAGTTCAGGCCCCATGACTGAAAAAAAAAAAAGAATTCTGAAAAAAGTCTCCCTTTTGTACTGGAACTGACTTGAACTTCAAGACCTCGTGCTTGCACTTGGCTCTTTTACTCACTTGAATCACACCTCCACTCCTGGTGTTTTGCTGGTCAGTTTGAGATAGGAGTCCCAAATTTATCTGCCTGGGCTGGATTCAAACCGATTCTTTGAGACCAATCCTCAGGTCTCAGTCTCCTGAGTAACTAGGAGTATAGGTGTGAGTCACTGGTGTCAGCTTCTGAAATTATTTTTATTAATTTATAGTTATGCTATCATTATGAACCTTAGGTCTCTCATTTCTCTCATTTAATCACTGCTACATAGAAAGATATCTTTACTTTTATGGTTTTTCATAAGTCCATTTCATGTAATTGTTTTTTTTTCTGGTCCTGGGGCCTAGGCCCTGTCCCCGAGCCTCCCTGTATTTAAGGCTAGCATTCTACCACTTCAGCCATAGTGCCATTTTTTTTTTTTTTTCTGAGTAGTTTATTAGAGATAAGAGTGTCACAGACTTTCCTGTCTGGACTGGCTTTGAACTGCGATCCTCAGATCTCAGCCTCATGAGTAGCTAGGATGACAGGCGTGAGCCATGGGTGCCTGGCTCACAGAATTCTTGTGTGTTGCTCACAGGCACTCCTTTCTTTTTTTTTTGGGGGGGGGGGGTCTGGTTGTGGGGCCTGAACTCTGGGCCTGGGCGCTGTCCCTCAGCTCTTCAGCTCAAGGCTAGTGCTCTACCACTTGAGCCACATTGCCACTTCTGGCTTTTTTTTTCTGCTTATGTGGTGCTGAGGAATCGAACCCAGGACCTCATGCATGCAAGGCAAGCGCTCTACCACTGAGCCACCTTCCCAGCCCCACAGGCACTCCTTTCTAAAGATGGCACATGTATCTAGAAGTGAACCTATCCTAGAAGTATGTCCTGGCCTCAGTGGGGTGGGATACTATGATACCTAAGGACCTAGAAACACTTGGATCCTCCCCACCCCCGCCACATACACACCAGTACCAGAGCTTAGAATGCAGGATTTTGTGATCCCTTTATAGCTTGTTTGCTTATGGCTAACTCTCTACCAATAGAACCATTCTTCTATCCTAGCATTTTGCTTGTAAATTGGGGATGAAGTGGTCTGGCTTCAAACCATGATCCTTTAGAACTCATCCTCATTCTCCTAGTAGCTAGGATTACAGGTGTGAGCCTGTAATCATTAGCATCTTGCCCTAGACTACCACCAACATCCATTCTTATGGAATTTTTTTTTATCCAGAGGAAAAAATAAGACAAAAATGACACTTTCATTTTAACAGGTGACATTTTAAGTGAGTCATGGTCCCAGTCCCTGAGGTTGAGTCCTGTTTTATTTTTTTTGGGGGGGGGTCCAGTTGTGGGGCCTGAACTCTGGGCCTGGGCGCTGTCCCTCAGCTCTTCAGCTCAAGGCTAGCGCTCTACTACTTGAGCCACAGTGCCATTTCTGTTTTTTTTCTTTTTGCTTATGTGGTGCTGAGGAATCGAACCCAGGGCCTCAGGCATGCAAGGCAAGTGCTCTACCACTGAGCCAACTTCCCAGTCCTGAATTCTGTTGATCATAGTTCTTTGAGAAAGTTTCTTCACCTGAGCTCAGGTTGCCAGACAGGCTAAAGCTTAGCTTAGGCTGCCTGGGCCTCTGTCCAAGCTGGTGAAGCCTACACTATATTATGATGCTACTGCAATAACTGGAGAAAAGTATCCACCAATAGCAGGAAAGAAATGCAAGTGTCGGGATAGAACAATGTCAGCTCTTTGTCCACCTGCACATCCACTGTACTCAGAGAGAGAGAAATATGGGAGGGGGAGGGAGAGAAAGAGAGAGAGAGAGAGAGGAGAGAGAGAAAGAGAGGAAGAGGCGAGCGTGCGAGCACAAGAGAGCAAGAGAGTGTGCATTTGATTGAGGAAAGAGCAGGTAGACCTTCTCCCCTGGTTCTTTTCAGGACCCTAGGGAAGAAAAGGAAAGAGATAGATGGCGATGACTTTTCTATGAGAGAGTAACTTGGTTATTTGCTTTGGCCTTTTATTATAGAAAGTTCCAAACACATTTAAAAAAGAAGGAAGAATAATATAATGAGTGGTTTGTTTGTTTGTTTGTTTTTTGCCGGTCATGGGGCCTGAACTCTAGGTCTGGACACTGTCCCTCAGCTCTTCAGCTCAAGGCTAGCGCTCTACCACTTGAGCCACAGCGCCACTTCTGGCTTTTTCTGTTTATGTGGTGCTGAGGAATTGAACACAGGGCCTCATGCTTGCAAGGCATGCCCTCTACCGCTGAGCCACCTTCCCAGCCCCTAGCAAGAATAATATAATGAATACCCAGGTACCCATCAACTGTAACCAAAATTTTGTCAATTTCATTTTGTTGATTTCTTCTCATTTATTTGACTGTTTTCTAAATTATTTACAACCAAATCACTGATGTCATTATTTTTCGGTAAATACCCCAGTATGCATCTCATTTGATTAAGACATTAAAAAACTATCATCATATTATTAGCAAATGTAGCAAAATTAACCATCATTCTTTATTATTGTTATACAAGGAGGTTTATTTAAGGGGGTTTCAATTTAACATGTAAACCATTGTAAGTCATCTGATATTGAGTATATATTACTTTGGTGTGTGTGTGTGTGTGATTGTTAACAATGTTTGTAATTCATTTGTTTGATGTGGGACCCAGTTAAGGTCCACATTTAGTTATTACATTGTCATTCTATAGGAGCACCTCTTCCTTTCCTTTTTGGTTTTTCGATGCCATTGATTTGTAAAAGAAACCAGGTGATGTGTCTTGTAGTTCTACCCTAATGCACTGATTGCAGGAAGTGTAGCTGATAGTGGGAGAATGGCTCCTTGTTTGTAGGGGGGGATCTTGTTCTTTATCTGCCTCACCTACCGGAAGCAGAGAAGACCCACCACCAGCTCTTACCTCCTACACCTTTTGAGTCCATCCACTTTTCATCCCAATCTGTGCCTGCCTCACACAGCCACAAGGGTGATCCTTCTAGAATAAAATGCGTGTTGGATTATGTTTCTGAGCTGTTTAGTCTTTTCTAACTTGACATGCTATTCGTTTGAGTAAAGTTTTAATTTCTTAAAATCTATGATAAGACTTTTGTGACTCAGCTTCTCCAACCTTATCTGTTGGTTTTTGGCTCTCACATTGTCTGATCCAGACAGCTCTCTTCCAGTTTGGACCCATCAAATGCTGTCACTTCTGAGTGTCCCTATGCTAGCCCTTCTGCCTCATCTGGCTGTCTCCAAGTCTATCCTTTGAATCGTTGCTGAAATGCCCCTCCCTGTCTTGTGCTGTCATTGCATCCTTACTATACTGTCTCCTGCGCTAGCCTGTCAGTCTTGGAGAATGAGGGCTGTGTTTGTCTTGCTCATTGCTGCAACTCCAGTACCTGGCCCAGTGTGTGGCACCAGGCATCTCCTACTGCTTGTCAAGTGCATGAATGAACTATCATGCTAGAATTTCTCAGGACAAAGGTAGGTATTTGTTGATAGTAAGAATTGCATGTGACAGGGGCTTTTTATTGGAAAAAAATACTTAATACTTAATACAACTAACAATATCTTGCTTTTGTATACTTGCTTTTGTATATTTGAAGCTTGAAGCTACTACTTGCTTTTCTTGTTAATTTTGTGGACTTTTTAATAAACAAGTAATAGGCATACCCAAATTAATTACCTGCTTGGGAGAAATCATTCAAACTTGCTGTAAGTCATGTCTTTGATTGCAAATCAAATCTGTGCTGACCCCTGAGAGATCTCCTGGACTTGAAGTCAGGTTGAAACCAAAATACTCCCTCAGTCCAGAGCATGTTTGAAATGTTTTCAGATGTGTGCTGTTTGTGCGCTTTTGTGGAAGAGGCACTGGGTGAGAGGCGTGTTTGCCGTGTTTCCACAGGCTGTTTGGGGGCTTGGTGCTGGACATCAAGCGGAAGGCCCCCTGGTACTGGAGTGACTACCGGGATGCACTCAGCTTACAGTGTCTGGCCTCCTTTCTGTTCCTGTACTGTGCCTGCATGTCACCTGTCATCACCTTTGGGGGATTGCTTGGAGAAGCTACTGAGGGACACATAGTAAGAACTTTTTGTTTCTTTTAATGATAAAAAAAAACCCAAGATTTAAAATATATTGTGGCAGCCACATCCATGGTGGGAAGCACCACCTAGGCCTGCACTGAGGAGATTGGATTCTTTGTCCTGAATTACCAGGGTCTTCTGACTTCATATGAAAGGAAAACATGCTTCTCCTTTGTGTACACACTGTATTCTGCTTGAATGTCAGGGATTTTTGTTTTTTGTTTTTTTGTTTTGATTGGTCGTGGGGCTTGAACTCTGGGCCTGGGTACTGTCCCTTAGCTCTTCAGCTCAAGGCTAGCACTTGAGCCAGAGCTCCACTTCCGGTTTTCTGGTGGTTAATTGGAGATGAGTTTCATAGACTTTCCTGCCCGGGCTGGTTTTGAACCATGATCCTCATATCTCAGCCTCCTGAGTAGCTAGGATTATAGGCGTGAGCCACCAGCACCCGGCTTGAGTGTCAGTTTTCATAGCTGGTTGAATTGCTCCAAGAAAGGAAAATGAATCAATGGATGCTTTTTGAAAATAAGATTTGAAGTGACATTGTGACAGCTTGTAGTACAAACAGCATCATTGTTTTTTTTTTTAAATATATTTTTGAATGCTAATTGAGTCACTGAAGAACACACTTTATTGAGGAATCATATGCAAATGGATTTGGGCACCTGAATTATTAAAGTGGTACTTGTTTATAAGGGTATTAGACAGTGTGTACACATCCCTCTTGCTAAGAAGAAATAAGCAAATGACTGTCAAGGTACACATGACGCTAAGTCAGGAGTTTATATTGGCCAATATTACTCTTTACTGATGGGCTGTGGATTCAGTGGTTTTTGTTTTTGTTTTCTCCTCAGAGTACAATTGAATCCTTATTTGGAGCCTCCATGACTGGGATTGCCTATTCCTTGTTTGCGGGACAGCCTCTCACCATCCTGGGAAGTACTGGGCCAGTGCTTGTGTTTGAAAAGATTTTGTTCAAATTCTGCACGTAAGACATTTGTTCTTCTGAAAATTCTAAGTGCAAGTGGCTACTGCACTGCCAAGGTTAAACGTCAGGCTCCTCCACAAGTATATGGACAGATCCCAGAAGTGGATTGTGAGAAGCCTGAAGGAAGAGCATCACTGGGTGTGCTGTCCTGCCCTTACCGTAGCAGGCACCTGTAATCGCAGAGCTCTTCTTTCTAAAGGCCTTCAGTAATGTTATGCCACCATTATTGAAGTCTTCCTTCTTGATCTTTAAGAAAAAATTCCTTACTAATTCAATCCCCTCCATTTCCATTTCAAATCACTTTTCAATTTGTCTTATTATCCCTTCATATTCTGGTGATTATGGCAGTGGGGGCTTACCAGTGCCCTGCTTTTCCTCCTTATAGAGTCTTTTTTCCATTTTGTAATAGAAGGAAGGGTACATGGGACTAGAGCCAGGGCCCTTTTTTATTATTCTAAACAAGCTTATAATTTTATTGATTAGTAAAGGCAGAAATGTTGTACATGAGGTGATTCCTTTCTTTTCCACTTTCTATATCTTTACCATAGCAAATAGCACCTGTGAAACCAATCTTAAAACAACTAACCCAAAGGTATTTTTTAGGGAGTACATTTAGTATTAGGAATAAAGTGGGTTGCAGTTCTGGTGTGGATAACATGAGATGAATTAGCCACATTTGACCTTTTGTTTCTTAATGCCATCCACCGTGATTTTTAAAAAATGAATTTTGGTCTTGTTTCAGAGACTACACACTCTCATACCTCTCTCTGCGAGCCTGCATTGGACTCTGGACTGCCTTCCTGTGTATTGTCCTTGTGGCAACAGATGCTAGTTCCCTTGTCTGCTACATTACCCGATTCACTGAGGAAGCATTTGCTTCCCTGATTTGCATTATCTTCATCTACGAAGCAATAGAAAAGCTGATTCACCTGGCAGAGACCTACCCTATCCACATGCACAGCCAGCTGGATTACCTTAGCCTCTATTAGTAAGTGTGCGTTCTACTTCTCCTTCCCTTCTTTTCTTTTCTTTTTGTCTTTCTTTTCTTTTTATTAATGGAGCAAAGGGCCTGAGTTTAGTAGCCGATGTAGTGTGCCAGGCCGTGCTTGTAATTTCTGCTAAGGAAGTGTCTTGGTCCTCCGAGAACAGAGCACAGACGTAGATGAGGAGCATGGAAGCCTGCCAGAGAACAGTCAAAAGTGATGACAGAGGACCGAGGGAAACTCCTTCCTCTCCTCAGTCTCTCACAATGTCATCCAGGCTGGCCTTGAACTTTTGATCCTCCTACCTGAGTCTCCCAAGTGCTGGAATTACAGGAATGTGCCACCATATCTGGCTCTGGAAACCAATTCTTTGTGAATAAAGCTCAAAATGGCAATTTTCTTTCTCTCCCTTCTGTGTCCCTTCCCCTTTCCTCTAGCCCTCTCCTGCTCTCCCCCCCCCCCCCCCCCCCCATCACTGAAGGCTTAACAAAAATGGGCCAGCTCTTTCCCACTGCGCTGGGATGTATCCCCAGCCCTGAAAGGTATTTCTCTTAGTTGGATTTCACTCCTGTTTCACATGGAGCTGATGTGAATCTACAGTTCACCAACTCTTCAAATGAGTTTGTTAATCTATGTACAATTTTTTTTCTGTTATAAATAGACTATTCTCTTTAGAGAAGCTGTAAGTTCGCATAAGAGTTGAGCAGGAAGTTTCTGTATTATTAACATCTTCACCAGAGTAGTACATTTGTTATGATTATCAAATCTATTCTTTTTTTTTTTTTTTTTTTTGGTCATATGGCTTGAACTTGCCTGGGTATTATCCCTGAGCTCTTTTGCTTAAGACACTTTATCACTTTGAGCCACAGCACCACTTCTGTTTTGTTTTTTTTTTTCCTTTGTTAGTTGAGGTAAGAGTCTCATGGACTTTCCTGCCCAGGCTGGCTTTGAACCATGATCCTCAGATTTCAGCCTCCTGAACAGCTAGGATTACAGGCATGAGCCACCAGTGCCTGGCTAACAAATCTATTTTGATAAATCATTATCACCCAAAGTTAGAATTAGAGTTAGCTTTTGAGCATTCCATGAATTTTGACAAATATACCTTTATAATTCCTTGAAGAATAGTCTAAAAGTAGTCTAAAAATCCTCTGTATTCTACCTGTTCCACTCTCCCACTTCTCTAACATCTGACAACCATTGACCTTTGAACCATCTCCCTAGTCTTACCTTTTCCAGAATGTCATATGGGTAGAATCATATATTTTGTACCCCTTTCAGATTGTCTTTACTTAATAGCATGCATTCAGGGTCCCTTGTATCTTTCTTACTGGCCTTTTAGCACTGAATAGTGTTCCATTGTCTAGATGTTCATGGTTTATCACTATTCATATGCTGAAAGATAATCATGTTTGTTTCAAATTTTCAGTTGATGTTCAAAATCTTTTTAACATTTACTGTTTTTTAAACATTATTTTATTTTAAATTTATATAACTCTAAGTATTTATGGGCATATATTTGAAAGATATGTTTATATAAATTTGAATATATACATGTAAATACTTGATTTTGTTCTTAACGATCTTCCTGCCCCAGCCTTCTTTTTTTGCCAGTTGTGGGGCTTGAACTCTGGGCCTGGGTGCTGTCCCTCAGCTCTTCAGCTCAAGGCTAGCGCTCTACCACTTGAGCCACAGCACTACTTCTGGCTTTTTTCTGCGTATTTGGTGCTGAGGAATCAAACCCAGGGCCTCATGCATGCAAGGCAAGCACTCTACCACTGAGCCACCTTCCCAGCCCCCTGCCCCAGCCTCTGAGTGAGCGTGGGAGTCATAGGCTCATGTTCCCATGACTGGCTGGAATTGAGTTTTTTCAGCATCCTCATTACTTTTTATTATGTTGGTTTTCCCCTATTATTCTGACCAATGTAAATCTTCTTGAACTTTAATTCCATCCAAAAGCATGCTTATTAAATTCACAGATGAACCCAAACTGGTAGGGATGGCTGCGAAGTCAGCTGGCCATTCTGGGATTGGGCATCCCTGTGGCAGCCAGTGGACAGTGTGGGCTGGCCTTGTTTGGATAACAAGGAGGCCTGAGGAAGCTAATGGAGCTGTTAGAATGACTTCTTAGCAAGTTTGAGGGCATATGTTCAAACCCTAGTATTGGCAATCATTTTATTTTATTTTATTTATTTTATTTATTTTTTTTGTCCAGTCGTGGGGCCTGAACTCTGGGCCTGGGTGCAGTCCCTCAGCACTTCAGCTCAAGGCTAGCGCTCTACCACTTGAGCCACCTTCCCAGCCCCATGGCAATAATTTTAAAAAGATGAGACAAACATTTAATACAGATTTGTCTCCTTTTTATGCATCTCTGTTAACACTTGAATCATTTCACTGAGAACAATTAGAGGTTATGTGTCTCTGTGTCTTCTTTCTGCCATGAACTGGTAGCTTATGCCTATATTCCTAGCTACTCTGGGGGCTGAGATCTGGGGATTCCAGTTCAAAGGCAGCCTGGGAAGGAAAGTCTGAGAAACTCTTATCTCCAGTTAAGCACAACAACAACAACAAAAAACCAAAACCAAAAACAAACACCTAAAGTGGAACTATGGCTCAAGTAGAACACTAGCCTTGAGCAAGAAAGCTCAAAGACACCTGGGCCCCCAGCTTAAGTCCCAGGACAGGCACCAAAAAAAAAAAAAAAAAAAAAAGAATGAAAATCAGATTCTGACAGAGCCTTTAACCTAGTCATGGCTAAAAACAGTCAGTCTTTGACTACTTTCCTCAGGATTCTTTTTTCTTTTCCCTCAGTTGCCGGTGTACTCTTCCAGAGAATCCCAGCAATCATACCCTACAGTACTGGAAGGACCACAACATTGTGACAGCACAAGTGCAGTGGGCGAATCTGACCTCCAGTGTACGTGTGCAAGCCACCAGATGCCCCAGCATCAGGACTGGGTTTAGGAGGCAGTCACTTCTAGGGGGAAAGGAAGTAACACTTTGGTGAATTACAGCATTTAAGAAATAAAGCTTAAAAAAAACCAGAACCTTCTTACCTTACCCTATGACTCCTCTAAAAGATATATTGGATGAAATTTTGTAGATCAGAGGCAGAACGAGGCTTTGTAGGGCTTAAATAACATTCAAGTTTGGAAGGTCTTCTGTAATCAAAAACAATATAGATTGCTAGGACCCTCCTGGAGCCTTTGAAGTCATGCTCATTCAGGACAGAAGAGTTTCATTCTTAAGTGTCTTATTTAGGACCACAGTAGTACTTTATCCTGCAAGGGAGGGCCACACCGCCGCTCACCCTCTTCCCTCCCCCCACCCTCCCTGCTGCCGGGAGCTCAGGAGGATACAGCTAGCAGCTGTGCTCCCTAGCAACTATGGGATGTCAGTGAGTGTTCGACTCAGAAGGCAGCAGCTCTTCATTCCCATGCTGCTTGCATTTTGTCACCCAGAATGCTTGTTCCTCTAGGAATGCCAGAAGATGCACGGAGAGTTCATGGGATCTGCATGTGGTCATCATGGACCCTACACTCCCGATGTGCTCTTTTGGTCCTGTATTCTCTTCTTCACCACCTTCATCCTCTCAAGCACCTTAAAGACATTTAAGACGAGCCGTTATTTTCCAACCAGAGTAGGTAGCATGCTTGTATATAACTTTTGTGTTAGGACTCTAATCGGACATGTTCTTGACCTCCATGCTGCTGGGCAGTAGATTGGCAGTGTGGAAAGCTCCAAATGCCCTAAGAAGCCACACTGGGTGGAGCTCTGGCAGCCATTCATAGCTTGGTGGTGTGGAGTAAAAGACACTTCAAACATTTTTTAGTTAAAAGAACCTAGGTATGTTTAAAGTGATGATAATGTTCTCTAAAAGTTATTGTCTCATTTCCAGAATGCTGTTAAGTTCCATTAGCAGAATTATGGCACACTTAGCATATAATAACTGGAACTGGCTTGTGAAGATGGTAAATTGGGGTGATTGGCTTGGATTCTTTAAGGACCCCAGAGCTCACAGAGGGAGAGGTAGTACTTGAGTTAACCTCAAGGGGGTGAGGGAGCTACCCAAGAGTTCACCTGGAGGAAAATCTTCATGGTAGAAGGATAAAGCACACAGACCCTAAAGTGCAAATGAGCCTGGCCTGTTTGAGAGCCTGCAAAGAAGTCTGTGTGGCTAACACAGAGTGAGTGAGTGAGTGGGGCAGAATTAAGAGCTGGCACTGGAGAAGATGGAACTAGAGGAATGGCAATGGAGAGGGGATGCTGCCAGTTTGGAGGGCTTCTCAGGCAAGAAGCCCTTTTGGCTTTTGCTGTTGTCTTTTTGCTTTGTTTCGTGCTGGTCTTGGGGCTGAAATTCAAGGCCTAGGTGTTGTCCCTGAGCTCTTTCTTGCTCAAGTATAGTGCTCTACCACTTAAACTACAGCTTTCTAGTGGCTAATTGGAGATAAGAGTCTCATAGACTTTACTGCCTGGGCTGGCTTTGAACTGATTCTCAGATCTCAGCTTTCTGAGTAGCTAGGATTACAGGTATGAGCCACCAGTTCCCAGTGGCCAGCCCTTTGGGGTTTTTAACTCAGTGAAACAAGAAGTAAGAAGTAGGTTAGGAGGCTGCTACAGTTACCCCAGCAAGAGCTGTGGGTGACTCTGATCTGGACCAGGCACAGTCCACTGTGATGTGACTGCTCAGATTCTGGCTCTTTCATCAGGCCTTGAAGATGGGGTGGGTACTGAGTGTGAGGGAGAAGTGAAGCTGCTGCTGTTGTTGAGGTTCTTGGCCAATATGGTAGATCCTCACTGTTGCCATAAAATGTTTATTCAGAGTTCTCACTTGGACCTAGGCCTACATGCCCCATCCAGAGCTTTTCAGAGCTTGGTCTTGGTTCCAATAGATTTATCAGAGGGGTTCTTCTCCATGACCATATTTAGACTTCAGGGATAAATATCGAGAGTGTATGGATACATTCTTGTCATTTAAATATGTTAGTATTAGTCCATCTATAAAGTTTATTTTTCTGAAAAATTTGAACTTTTGCAGTACCGAATTCTTTTCTACTGTGTTTAATGTACTAAAACACTGTTCCAATTCTCTCTTGTGTTAGGTTCGCTCCACAGTGAGTGACTTTGCTGTCTTCCTCACTATCTTCACAATGGTGATTGTTGATTTTTTGATTGGCGTTCCATCACCAAAGCTTCAGGTTCCCAGTGTGTTCAAGGTAAACAGATTGCAAGGTGTTTGGTGCTTTCATGTCCTTGTGTCCAATGTATTTCAAAGGCCTTTTCATAGTCCACTTACTAGATGAGTTTTGCAGTCCACTAAATCTGAAGCTGGTTCCTTAGATCTTACTATTCAGAAAAGGAAATGGACTAATGGGAAAAGTCAAAGAATAGAAAAACTAAAACAATCGTGGCTACTTAGCCATACTGAGCTCTGAGGATCAAAGTTTGAAGCCAGCCTGGGCAAATAAACTCAAGAGATTCATACTTTGAATTAACCAGCAAAGAACCAGAAATGGAGGTGTGGCTTAAGTGGTAGGGTGCCACATGAGATTTTTTAAAAAGCTGAGCAAGACTGTTGAAGCCTTGAGTTCAAGCCTAGTACTGGCATGAGAGAGAGCGAGAGAGAGTGCAAGCGAGGGGGGGAAGAGGGAAGGAAAACAGAAGATTAAGGTTATTTAATGAATAAAAATCATTAATAACACTAAACTATTAAAAGGCAATAGTAACATGAATATCACTTATTAAGATTTAAAACAATAGAATGTTTCCATTTACATAAATATATACCAGATACCTGGGTCCCTGGAACAAGTCTCATTAACAGCACCTTCACTAAGAAAGGAGGTGTTTAAGGACACTGGAATGAGGAATAAGTAAAGAACCCTCGGGGATTGTGCTGGGCAGCATGGAGTGGAAATAGGAGGGACCTCATCTGGAGTCCAGGACCTCTCCCAGAGTAATCAGATGGCTCTTCAAATTCTGTTTTCTATTTGTGTGATTCTACTACTCAGGAGGCTGAGATCTGAGGATCATGGTTTGAAGCCAGCCTAGGCAGGAAAGTCCATAAGACTCTTATCTCCAATTAAGTACCAAAAGGTTGGAAGTGGAGCTGTGGCTCAAGTGGTAGAGCACTAGCCTTGAGCAAAAATATTCAGGACAGTGCCCAGGCCCTGAGTTCAAGCCCCAGGAAAACACACACACACACACACACACACACACACACACACACACAGAGTGAAAAAATGATCAATACATGGAGTCTCCAAATCTATTTCAGTTCAAATAAACAAAGAAGCTAGAAAAGCTGCACTTAATTCTTCAGACTCCTTTTGTATAAGGAAGAGAGAAAACCTGGACGCATTCAATGGCTTCAAAAGAGATTTTGCTGTTCAATATTATTTGTCTTTTTAGAGGAGGAAAGCAGGGGGTTACAGAAAGGAAGGGAAGAATATGATCATGCTATTCAGTAAATGCTATGTAGAAAATGAATTGTGTAATTTGTGGGCAGGGATGGGAGAGGGAAACTGAGGGAAAGTGAAGGAAGGGGTGGCATTGTCCAAAAAAGAAATGTACTCATTACCTAACGTATGAAATGGTTACCCCTCTGTACAATAATAGCAGAGACAAAGAGACAAAGAGAAGCCAAAAGCCCTCTGAAAATGGACATCTCTTACAAGTCAGGGACTGACTTTACTCCTTTATACCTTTTTCACCATGATCTCCCATTTTCCTATTGTGTCTTTATATATATATATGTAATTTTATTGCTGTTATTGTACAGAGTACGTTAGGTAATGAGTACATTTCTTTTTTGGACAATGTCACTCCTTCTTCACTTTCCCTCCGTTTCCCATGTTGCTTGTTTAATCTGATTAAATTTGCTGAAATTCTACCAGTTAGACCCTTAGGGGTTAACATTCCCAAGGATCTGGCATTTTCATCTTTGTGTGGATGAGCGCAGTCAGCTTTCTTGCTAATACCTAGCTGAGGTCAGCCCTGCAGGAGAAATGGATTTTGTATAAAAATAGGTAATTTGGGAGCATTAAGCAGTCCTTGGAAGAGTTCCCTGATGGGTAGGTTTAAGATAGTCAGAGGCACTGGATTTCTGGGACATCTGGGGTGGGAGGTAAAGGAGAAATGAGAAAGGGAAATAGAAGAATGTCCAAGAAAATGCTGCTAATGACAGGTTCTACTTTTGGGAATCAGGAAGTAGGGGGATTCGTGTGTGTGTGTGTGTGTGTGTGTGTGTGTGTGTGTGTGTGTGTGTGTGTGTGTGTGTGTGTGTGTGTGTGTGTGTGTGAAAATCTTGGGGCTTGAACTCAAGGCCTGAGATTTTTTTGCTTAAAGCTTAGCAGTCTACCACTTGAGCCGCAGCTCCACTTCCAAGTTTTTTGGTAGTTAATTGGAGATAAGAGTTTCACAGATTTCCCTGCCTTGGCTGGAAACCATGGACTTCAAACCATGATCCTCAGATCTCAGCCTCCTGAGTGGCTAGTGTTACAGGAGTAAGCCACCAAGAACAAGAAGTATTTTGTTTTGTTTTCCCCTTTTCTTCCTTCTGTCTTTCTCTAGTAAAGCAAATGATGTGGCTTCCAAGACCCAGCCTGAAGACTGGCACAGTTTATCCCTTTGTATCCACAGGGGATTGGTTCCAAGGACCCCTAGGGGATGTAGATGCTCAAGTCTCTTGGATGAAATGGTGTATTATGTACATCTTATATACTTTAAATTATCTCTAGATTATTTATAATATCTAATATAATGTAAATGCTGTGAAAATGGTTGCTTAAGGAATAATGACAAGAAAAAATTCTATATACATTCTGTACAGATGCAATTCTTTCCCTTAACTATCTTCAGTCTACAATTGGTTGAATTTGAAGATGTGGAACCCACAGATATGGAAAACTGCTGAGCTATTACTAGCAATTATAAGTCATAAAAGGTTTAATAAATTTTGTGATGGTTTAAGAACTTAACTACAGTTTAGAACAATGTTATGAAGGAAACATAGGTTCTGTAAGCTTTTAGAATATAACTCATTTCTCATTTTAGTCTTGTTAGTGTTGAAGTTTTTGAAGCTGAGAGTCCTTACTAATGTAGAACCAGATGTTTTAGATAAACCAGCCCTAGGTCAGTTTGTATCCCTGTGCTGTTATCTACTGAGCATCACTGGCCAAAAAGGTAAACTTGACTTCTCCAAAGTACCTTGGGGTGGAAGTTGAAGATCTAGGAGAGTTTGGGTATGTCATGAACACCCTAATAAGATTAATGAGTAATTGTCTTCCAGGAGCAATGGAGAGAGGGTCCTAGGTTAGGGAAGTCCCAGAGTTCGACAGTCTTGGACCTCTGTTTCACTGCTGATGGAAGAAGGCCCTTAGAGTAATCCAGCCTAAGCCCAAGAAATGCATGCACCTGTCTCTACCTTCATCAGTACTATCCACATACATGGGGCTTCTGGAGAGAAACATTGCAGAGGATAGTCTTAAGTTATTTATGTTTATTTGTCTTTGGAAGTTATTATTTTTTGTTTTTGTTTTGTTTGTTCTTAATGGAAGTTATCATTTTTTGACAATAGATTTAGTTAATTACATTTTCTTGGGTTGATGATGAGATAAAGTTGCTTTCTCTGAGCATAGGGACTTGGGGAATAAATTGGGGGAGATAGTTAATGAGTACTCCAGAGGAAGCTCACGACTGAGATTGACTATTTCAAAGGGGATTAAGAAAATCAGGTCATAGATTTCATAATAAATTGCCCTATTTTATGCCTATTTCAAGTAACAAAAAGAAATGTGAAATTGTGTTCAATTTAATCTTTTTTCTAGTGACTGTAGTTAAAGTATAAAAATAATGTTTTTGTTGTTGTTTTGGTGCCAGTCTTGGGGCTTGAACTCAGGGCCTGGGCATTCATTATCCCTGAGCTTCTTTGCTCAAAGTTAATGCTCTACCTCTGGAGTCATAGCTCCACTTCTGACTTTTTGGTGGTTTATTAGAGATAAGAGTATCATGGGCTTTCCTGTGTGGTCTACCTTTAACCATAGTTCTTGGTCTCAGTCTCCTGAGTAGCTAAGATTACAGGCGTGAGCCGCTGGCACCCAGCAAAAATATTTTGATTTTTTTCCTTTAGCCAACAAGGGATGATCGAGGATGGATTATTAGTCCCATCGGCCCCAATCCCTGGTGGACTGTGATAGCTGCAATTATTCCAGCTCTCCTCTGTACTATCTTGATATTCATGGACCAACAAATTACAGCTGTCATCATTAACAGGAAGGAACACAAGCTGAAGGTAACAAGACATTTTCACTTGAACACTGCAATGGCAGCCTCTGTTACATTCTTACTTTAGGATACTCATATGTACACCAGGAACTGTAGAACCTGGATAAAAAGTTATAGAAAGAGCTTATAAAGGGTTTTCATCCTCTTCCCATTAGTAACAAAGATTGAGTTGGAGATGAGCCTGGAGTGGAATGTGGTAGTGTGATGTGAAAGGTGCTTAGATTTTGTTACTCTTCTCTCCAAGCTGTGGGGAGGTAGGTAGGCAGAGTTCTTGGTGGTCCCTTAGTACTCCATGTGCAGTCAGCACTTGCACAGCTCATCTTCCTAAGGTCCAGATTAAAGTATGGGTCACCATTTTCTGGATGCAGGTATTACGCCATTGGGTAAAGTTTCCAGATTCAGCCTTGAGTCCAATGGCTACTAGGTACTAGGGTTCTAGAGCATGTGTTAATGAGATGCTACATGCCCAACATCTCTGTTCTTCTCTCACCCACAACTCTGTGTTGTAAGGATCTGGTGGGGGCTGTAGGAATTCAAGAAAAATGTTGGTTTCCGATGCATGTTTCCCAGAATGATTAAGATGCAGTTTGGTTTCTAGCTACTCTTCCAGAGAATGATGGATCTTTGAATGTGTAAGACTCAGAGTAAGCTGGGGCCAGTGGGGTTAAGAATAGATATTAACATACACAGGACAAGCTAAAATTCCCTTTTTATTTTCTGCTTTTTTCCAACCAGGAGACATTGACAGCTTTCTGTGGTCTTGGACCCCTTAACCACATGCCTCTTTAGGCATGGCCCTATGATCCTTAGCACACGCTTACATATGTTCCTCTATAGCTGGCTCATTGATGATGACTGATTTTTCTGTTTCTTTACAGAAAGGCTGTGGCTACCACCTAGACCTGCTAATGGTGGGCATTATGCTAGGTGTCTGCTCCATTATGGGCCTGCCTTGGTTTGTGGCTGCAACTGTCCTGTCCATCACACATGTGAACAGCCTCAAGCTGGAATCGGAGTGTGCTGCCCCTGGAGAGCAGCCCAAGTTCTTGGGCATCCGAGAGCAGAGAGTGACAGGCCTTATGATCTTTGTGCTGATGGGCTGCTCCGTCTTCATGACAGCTGTTTTAAAGGTAAATCATTCTCTTTTTAGGCAGACACTGAGTGCCTTTCTGTCAGGAAGCCATCTCAGTGCTGGGAATACAAGGCCCCCAGACAGATACATATCAAATTCCTGTCCTGAAGAGCTTATTCTAGTGAGACAAGACAAAAAGATAATAAGTAGCCAAGAAAAACAGTTTAGAAAGCAAATGTGATCATTATAGAATGTACTAAATTATATAATGGGAATATGTAGTCATCTCTGGTATTATAGAGAACCAAGACGTTGGGTTTCAGTTAGAGTGGTCAGAAGGCCTCTCTGAGAAGGTGGTATTTGAGATAAGATGGAGACAACCATATTGTGGATGGTAGCAGATGGCATGAGGGAGGGGAAAACAGTCAAGTCAGACCCTGCTAGGAAAGAGTGGTATGTGTTCCAGAAAATACGAGGGCCCTGTGGCTCAAGGGTGCTGAGCCCTGTCAAGAGCTCAGTGAGAGTTGGGTTGGAGGCATGGGTGGGGCCAGGTCAGGGAGGGCCTTTTCCACACTGCCAGAAGTTACCTTAGAGGAGTTTAGACACATGAGCCATGCGATGTCTAGAGGATAAGATTTTGTTTTTCTTTCTTTCTGGTCCTGGGGCTTGAGCTCTGGGCCTGAAGCTGTCCCTCAGCTTCTTTTCGCTCAAGGCCAGCACTCTGCTATTTGAGCCACAGCTCCACTGCCAGGTTTTCCTGTGATTAATTGGAGATTAGAGTCTCACAGACTTTCCTGCTAGGGCTGGCTTCAAACTGAGATCCTCAAGACTTCAGCCCCCTGAGTAGCTAGGATTACAGGCCTGAGCTACCAGTGCTCGTCTTTAGAGGACATGTTTTAAGGTAAGAGAAAAACAGAAGCAGAGGCCAGAGAGGCTATTACAGGTGAGAGATGATGATGGTTTGAATGAAAGACATAACTTCTGTATCTTAGAGGCAGATAGGAAGGTCTTGATGCTTGACTAGATGTGGAATAATGGGGCAAGAAATGGGGAAAAATCATCAAAGACACCTGTTATGTTCCTGACTTGACCAGCTGATAGAAGTAACTTTTTTGGGGGGAGAGGGTGGTACTAAGGTGAACTCAGGACCCCATGCCTGCTAGGCAGGTGCTCTACTACTGAGCCACACTTCCAGCCCTTTTATTCACTGGTTATTTTGGGGGGGGGGCAGTTTGCCCATCCTGGGGCTTGAACTCAGGGCCTGAGCACTGAAGAGGGCTTGTTCTGAAGAGCTTATTCCAGTGGGGAGTGGAACCTCTTTGTGCTCAAGTCTAGCGCTCTACCACTTGAGCTACAGCACCACTTTCAGCTTTTTAAAATAGTTTATTGGAGATAAACTTGAGCCAAAAACCTAGGGACAATATTCAGGACCTGAGTTCAAACCCCACAACTGACCAAAAAAAACCAAAACCAAAACAAAGCAAAAAACAAAACCAGGCATCTTTGGGCTAGGAAGGTGGCTCAGTGGTAGAGTGCTTACCTTGCAGGCATGAGGCCCTGCTTTCAATTCCTCAGCACCACATAAGCAGAAAAATCCAGAAGTGGTGCTGTAGTTCAAATGGTAGAGTGCTAGCCTTGAGCTGAAGAGCTATGGGACAGAGTTCAGGCCCCACAACCACCACCACCAACAACAAAAGAGTCGTAACAGGAACTTTTCTGCCCCGCTGGTTTTGAACCATGATCCTCAGATCTCAGCCTTCTGAATAGCTAGGATTAGAGGTGTGAGCCACCAGCACCTGGCTTCACTGGTTATTTTTGAGGCAGGGTATTGCTTTCTACCTAGAATACACTTACACCTCCATTTGCCTCTTTTAAAGAGCTTCCTGTTGTGGCTAGGATGACGTGCTACCCCATCCAGCTCTCAGATGAGAAGGCTGGTAAAAATGTCTGCTTGAGCTATCCTCAGTTTGCAATCCTCCCATTTTCAGTCTCCTAAGTCGCTAGCTAGAATTACAAGTGTAAACCACTGGCACCCAGTGTGATGACAGTTAGAAAGATGGAGATTGCATTTTGATTTTGTGAGGGGTAGGGCGACCATCGGCATTTGAGTGAGAAGTCTGGAGTCATCTGAATGAAACAACAGAAGAAGGTTCTGGACTCATAAATTTCAAAGTCATCAACAAATTTGGTGGCGTTGAAGGCCAGGGGACAGATGAAATCACTTGGGAAAGGACAAAAGAGAAGAAGAGTCAGAGTTTAGAAGTTGGGTTGACAGCAACAGAATCTCAGAAGGAGCTACCAGGGTGGTGGAAGGGAAATAAGCAAGGTGCAGTATTGAGGAGACCAAGTAAGGGAAGTGTTTCAAGAAGGCAGGGCTTGTTCGAGGTCTAGGAAAATGAAGATTAAACCAAGGCCGCTGTGTTTAGCAATATAGAGGCTTAATGTAAGTCAACAAGGAAAAACGGTACAGCAGCAGCCATGAGCAAGAAAGTTGCAAGTTTGAGGCCTCAATACTGGCACACAAACACAAACTATTGCTGTATACTTTGAACTGGAGACATGGCTCAAGTGATAGAGTATTGGCGGTAAGTAAAGAAAGCCAAGCAAGAATATAAGGTCCTGTGTTCAAGCCTCAGTACTGGCACAAACAAACAGACCTACTTAAGAGAAGATTCTGTGGATTGCCTAAGTTTCTGCTGCCTTTCCATAATTTAGAAGTAAAAGCAAAAGCAGAGGCTGACAGTGGTATGATTGAAATGGAATGATTATCTGTCAGTTAAATCATAGGCATCACATCTCACCCAGTTGGCTCTTCTTCCTCCTTGGAGACGATGGACACACACACACACACACACACACACACACACACACACACACACACACACACACACACTTTTACAGGTGCCTTTAAAGTCTTGTCTAATCACAAGATCTGCATCTGGGAAAATGGAGTGAAAAGGAAAGCTCTATGCCATATTTCTATTCTGGAACATTGTCTTGCCTTCTTTCTCCCTTTTTTTTGTGTGTGAATCTTTAACCACCCTAGCCTGCCCTGCAAATGCCCTCTAAGGGTGACAATGGAGAGAGTGGTAAAGAATTATAAACTATTTTCTTGTCCTTTTCCCCTCAACCTTACCGTCTACTTCTTCTCATGCCCCTTACTCTCTGTCCTTCATCTCCAGCCTCCCTTCCACTTCTATTTCCTAGTACCAAAGCTTGCTGCTTGGGGCTGGGAAGGTGGCTCAGTGGTAGAGCGCTTGCCTTGCATGCCTGAGGCCCTGGGTTCGATTCCACAGCACCACATAAGCAGAAAAAAAAAGCCGGAAGTGGCACTATGGCTCAAGTGGTAGAGCACTAGCCTTGAGCTGAAGAGCTGAGGGACAGCACCCAGGCCCAGAGTTCAGGCCCCATGGCCGACAAAAAAAAAAAGAGAGAGAGAGAGAAAAGAGCTTGCTGCTTTGGTACCAAGAATCTAGCCACAGGAACCTGGTGGTTGACATCATTCAGTAGTTCTACAAAAAGGTGGTCACTGAAATGAGCTGTCCAGTCTCTCTAGACCTGAAACAATGTAATCTCCATTGTGGATTTTTCTGAGAGGAATCATGTTTGGGAATGTTCTGTAATCCCAGAATAAAAGCAGATTGAGTTTAGTCTTCAGCTATAAAACTTTGCTTGCCTCAGTTCTGTAGACTGCATTTTCCTGTTTCAGAGTTGCTCGGAAGATTTACCCAAATTGATAGATTTGGGTAAGGTCATAATTGGGTGCTGTGTGAATCTTCAAGCTCAAAATAATATTTCCCCTCAGCCGGGCGCTGGTGGCTCACGCCTGTAATCCTAGCTACTCAGGAGGCTGAGATCTGAGGATCGCGGTTCAAAGCCAGCCCGGGCAGGAAAGACCGTGAGACTCCTATCTCCAATAAACCACCAGAAAACTGGAAGTGGCGCTGTAGCTCAAGTGGTAGAGCGCTCGCCTTGAGCTGAAGAGCTGAGGGACAGCGCCCAGGCCCAGAGTTCAAGCCCCACGACCGACAAAATAATAATAATAATAATAATATTTCCCCTCATATCATTCTCTCCTGCCATCAAGTCTCTGGTCAGGGAAAAAGAACCTTTTTAATTCCATGTTAAAATACATTGAATCCCAGAGGAGATGAATTTGATTTCAGATAATTTAAAAGGAAAAAATGTGTGTGTGTGTGTGTGTGTGTGTCCCCATCTTCCCATCCCTAGAAAGGAAGAAGAGCCAAATAAGGGTGAGATGTGAGGCCTATTATTTAATTTACAATAATTCCATTTCAGAACAAAATAATCTCCATCTTTGTCAGCCTCTGTTTTTGCTTCTAAATTATGAAAAGACAGAAGAAACAGATGTAATGTGAAAGAAGCTATCTTGTGACTATGTTTCATTCTTAGAGATAATGAAATTTAGATAGTTTTGAATATGCTGTGATACCAAACTTAGTTTTGATTTTCTGCCCTTTCATCGACAGTTTATTCCGATGCCAGTACTCTATGGAGTTTTTCTTTATATGGGAGTTTCTTCACTACAAGGAATTCAGGTAAGTGAAGTTGTCTGTCTTCACCAGGGAGGGACAGATCTTCAAGAAAAGCACTAAAAACGTGTTTTTTTTTTTTTCTGGTACGGGTCTTGACTTAGGGCCTCCTGCTCATTCGGCTTACTGTCTTAAGGTGGAAGCTGTACCACTTGAGCCATGCTTGCAGCTTAGATTTTTTTCTGGTTAATTGGAGATGGCATGTCATGAGCTTTTCTACCTGAGCTGGCTTCAAATTCAAGTCTTCTGGATCTCAGCTTCCAGAGTTGCTAGGATTACAGCTGTGAGCCACTTGCTCTGAGCATCAGTTCTTGAGAATTGGGCTATTTTAGAAATTTCTTGGGCAGTGGGGCAAAATACAGTATATCAGCTTGAGTGTACTTCCACTTATTGACTATTCAACAATTATTTGACATGAAAGTTGGTTCTGAAAAAACCGGTTAAGCATCTAACGGTCTTTCATATATGGACAACTCAAGATTTAATGCTAAAGTGTGAGAGAAGGGAGTTTAACTTTAGGATACATTGGTAAAAACAACAAAACAACAACAACACAGCTGAGGAATAGTGGGATTTGCCCCAGGTAAACAGATGTCTGTTCTTGTTCTCTGCTTTTCCCACATTCGTTCATTCCTTAGAAACTGTCAAATTGAGAAAAACAGGAGTCTTCATCAATAATTTGAGTACCTTGTATGAGTGGCCATTCTTATATCCTAATATAACTAATATATATAATTTTGACAAATTATTCAATCTCTAGGTGTATGTTTTCTTTCTTATAACCATTATTGTAATTTTAATATCCAGAATGTTTTGAGGTTTCATTTGATCTTTTCACCTTAAATCATTAATGACTAGCTCCAAATCCCTCAAAGAAGGGTAAGAGAGTGCTTTGATAGTAAGAAGAAACATGCTTATTGGCTTATCCTCTTGGCTACTTTTTTAAAGTAAGTGCTCTTAGGAGCCACAGTGTGGAAGAGGAGGAGGAAGTTTAAACCTAGAATTAGACAAGATGGCTTCACATCTTGACTGTCACGTACCAATCCTTGCCAGATTGCCTTTCAGTTTCCACTTCTGCCCAATGCAAAAGATATTTTCAGAGCAGGTGAGAAGGCTCCTGAAAATAAATTCCAGTTCCCCCTTTCAGTTCTTTGATCGCCTGAAGCTTTTTGGGATGCCGGCAAAGCACCAGCCAGACTTTATCTATCTGCGACATGTGCCACTGCGCAAAGTACACCTCTTCACGCTCATCCAGCTGACCTGCCTTGTCCTACTCTGGGCCATCAAAGCATCACCAGCTGCTATAGTTTTCCCAATGATGGTGAGGTTTGTTTTAACGTAAATTATTTGTTGGTTTTGTGTGTGTGTTATTTGTTGGTTTTGTGTGTGTGTGTGTGTGTGTGTGTGTTATTTGTTGGTTGTGTGTGTGTGTGTGTGTGTGTGTGTGTGTGTGTGTGCCACCTGGGACCTGAACTCTGGGATTGGGTGCTGTCCCTGGGCTTTTTTTCCTCAAAGATAGTCACTTGAGCCACAGTTCCACTTCTGGCTCTTTGGTGATTAATTGGAACTAAGAATCACAGACTTTCCTGCTCAGGCTGGTTTTGAACCACAACCATCAGATCTCAGCCTCCTGAATAGCTACAATTACAGGTATGAGCTACTGGTGCCCAGCTATTATTTTTTAATGTTTTAGTAACATACATATAAGATTTCCCATTTTAACCATTCTTCAGTGTATGGTTCAGTGGCACTGGCATTAAGTGCACTCACATTGTTGACCCATCACCATCATCCATTTCCAGAGCTCATTCATCTTGTAAAACTGAAACTCTGTGCCTATTAAAATACAACTCTTGGGGCTGGGGAGGTGGCTCAGTGATAGAGCACTTGCCTTGCATGCCTGAGGCCCTGGGTTCGATTCCTCAGCACCACATAAGAAAAAAGAAAAAAGCCGCAAGTGGCGCTGTGGCTCAAGTGGTAGAGCGCTAGCCTTGAGCTGAAGAGCTGAGGGACAGCGCCCAGGCCCAGAGTTCAGGCCCCACGACCAGACCCCCCCCCCCCAAAATAAATAAAATAAAATACAACTCTTCATTCTCCCTTCCAACCCCTGGGAAGCTACCCCTTAATTTATGTCTCTGTGAATTTTATTATTCTAGGTACCCCAGTAAGTGGAGTCCCACATGTTTGTCCTTTTGGCTTATTTCACTTAGCACAATATTGTCAAATTTCATCTATGGTGTAGCATGTTTGAATTTCCATACTCTAACAAGGTTGAGTCATATTCCAATGTAGGTATAGGCTACATTTTGGGTTTCCCTCAGCTGTCAACAGGTTCTTGTATTGCTTCCACCTTTGGGCTATTGTGAATCATGCTGCTGTGACAAATATTTGTTTGTATCCTTGCTTTCAATTCCTTGGGGAAATATACCCAGGATCAGAATTGCTAGATTATATGGTAATTATATTGGTAATTTTTTTCTAATTCTTTAGATCCATACATAAAATGGGTTTCTCAATTTTATTAAAGTAAATTTAGGGTTTAACATTTATGTGTTATATTAAGGGATTAAAGGGTTTGATTTTTAATTTTTTTTTGTCTGTCATGGGGCTTGAACTCAGGACCTGGGCACTATACCTGACATTTTCTTCTCAAGGCTAGCACTCCACCACTTTGAGCCATATCTCCACTTCTGTGGTTAATTGGAGATTAGAGTCTCATGGACTTTCTGCCAGGGCTGGCTTTGAACCTCAATTCTCAGATCTCACCCTCCTGAGTAGCTAGGATTACAGGCATGAACCACCATCACCTGGCTTGATTTTTTTTTAATAGCAAATTCCTTGGAACTACTGGAAAGAATCCTATCAATTTCTGGATCTAATCAGAAAATAGTCATTAAATTAGAAGTGCCAGCTCATTTCTAAAATATTAGAGGTGTGAATGAATTTTATTTATTTTTTGCTGGTCTTGGGGCTTGAAGTCAGGGCCTATGTGCTGTCCCTGAGCCTCTTTGTGCTCAAGGTGAGAACTCTACCTCTTGAGCCATAGTGCCTCTTCCAGCTGCTGCTGCTGCTTCCTCCTCCTCCTCCTCCTCCTCCTCTTCTTCTTCTTCTTCTTTTTCTTCCTCTTCCTCCTCCTCCTCCTCCCCCTCCTCCCCCACCCCCCCTCCTCTCCCTCTTCCTCCTCCTCCTCCCCCTCCTCCCCCTCCTTCCCCTCCTTCTCCTCCTCCTTCTCCTTCTCCTTCTCCTTCTCCTTATCCTTCTCCTTCTCCTTCTCCTTCTCCTCCTTCTCCTTCTCCTTCTCCTTCTCCTTCTTCTTCTTCTTTTTCTTCTTCTTCTTTTGTCAGTTGTGGGGCTTGAGCTCTAGGCTTGAGCGCTGTACCTGTGCTCTTCAGCTCAAGGCGAGTGCTCTACCGCATGAGCCACAGCATCACTTCTGGTTTTCTGGTGGTTAATTGGAGATAAGAGTCTCACCAACTTTCCTGCCTGGGCTGGCTTTGAACTGCGATCCTCAGATCTCAGCCTCTTGAGTAGCTAGGATTATGGGGGTGAGCCACCAGTGCCTAGCTGTGAATAGATTTTAATAAGCTTGATTTGCCTCATTCTTGTCTAGCCACTAGATGTAGCTGATGAATACCAGTTGACCCAGGGCAGGTTTTAAGTTATTATTAATTCTCTTTGGCTAAAGTCACCATCATAGGAAGAACATAGAGTAGTAGCTAAGGTAACTGGACCCTGTCTCTACTGGAAAAATCATGTGTTAGACTTTAGCTAAGTCTGTTCAACTCTCTGAGTCTCAGTTCTCTTACCTATGAAGTGAGCGTCAGAGTAGGCCAGAGAGTAGAGAAAGAAACTGGTAGAGATTCATGGTGCAGGTGGAAAGCAAGGACTTGGGAAATGTATAGGCAGAGGATCAGAGGGAATAAAGAAGGTCTTCCAAAATTCTGTCATCCTTGTAAAGCAGGCTTGGGCTGGGTGTGTCTGAGTGGCCCAGCTCTTGCAGAAATTCTCCATCCCTGCTCTCCGACGTTTCCTGCTGACTCCTAAGCCCAGGAAAAAGCATCTGTTGGATCCATCTGCAGATTATTGGCTTCTCTTTTCAATGAGGAAATTAAATTAGTTTTGTTGAACTGTTATCATAATGGTTAAAATAGTCTATATAAAACAACTCAAGCCGGGTGCCGGTGGCTCACACCTGTAATCCTAGCTACTCATGAGGCTGAGATCTGAGGATCATGGTTCAAAGCCAGCCCAGGCAGGAAAGTCCGTGAAACTCTTATCTCCAATAAACCACTAGAAAACTGGAAGTGGCGCTGTGGCTCAATGGTAGAGCGCTTGCCTTGAGCTGAAGAGCACAGGGACAGCACCCAAGCCCAGAGATCAAGCCCCACTACTGACAAACAAACAACTCAGTATCTGCCCTGAAGAGAGCACTCAATACATGGAAATTTATTGTGATTCTGCTTTTGCTTGTAACATCCTAGTCTGCTATAAAAATAAGACTTTGCTTTTAATTCAAGGCAGAATCTGCCCCCTTTAACTCAAGTTTATTTTTCTTCAGGTCCTGGCCTTGGTCTTTGTTAGAAAAGTCATGGATCTCTGCTTCTCTAAGCGAGAACTGAGCTGGTTAGATGATCTCATGCCTGAAAGCAAAAAGAAGAAGTTGGATGATGCCAAAAAGAAGGCCAAGGAGGAAGAGGTCAGAGTCTTTGTACCAACTGTATACTTTGAGGTTTCATAGGGGTGCCCCGTGAGAATTCAGCATATCTGACATCCTAAGGGCTTACTTAGGAGCTGGGACAATCTCCCCATGGTGATCTCTGAGAATGGATAAAGGAATCTTGCTTGAATCTTCCCTTCATATTTGGATTTGGTAACCAAATCCCTTTGTTTTTCACTTGCCAGATTCACACCTAGGTTTAATTATTATTCTACTTTAAATCTCTTTGTATGTACATGTTTCTCTCTTTCCTTTGAATTAGTAGCATTGTCTTTAAGAAAATATTTTATTATGGGACATTTTAAACAGAAAAGTGAGAAGAAAAGTCAATATTCATATTTCCTCAATTTCCTAATTATTGTTTTTTGTAACAATTTGCAATTGTAATTGGTTGGTATCTTTCTTAAATCTTCTTACGAGTTCTTTTTCCATGTTTTTTCTTTTTGTTGAGGAATCTGGGTCTTTGGACTCCAGGGTCCCCCACAGGCCTTGCTAAGTGTCTTACTTGGTATTAGTCAATGTGTCCTGTCCCCTGTATTTCTAGTAGGACTGTAATTCAATTTAGAGGCTTACATTTACATTCTAATATTTTCCCATTTCTATTCATATTTGGTTGTCTCTCTTTTTGTGAGGAGTTATATCTCTGAGGTATCCTAATTAAACACTTATAATAAATGTGTGAGAAAAAATAGATTGTGATCTTAATGATCCAAGACATATTCTCCTTTTCTTTCAGGAGGCTGAGAAAATGTTAGAGATAGGGGGTGACAAGTTCCCCCTAGAAAGCAGGAAGTTACTAAATAGTCCTGGAAAGAACAGCAGTTTCAGGTAAAGCTCTCAAACACGGAGGAGTTTGGGTTTTCTCTATGCATTCTGGCCTTGTGGTGGGGGTGTTGTCACAAGCATTCAGTCTTCTAGTTTGCCCAGTGGAAATTCCCTTCCATTTCATTGTGTACTGAATGCCCCCTGTGTGCTGCAAGTCACAGAGGAGAGGCAGAGAAGCCAGGGTCCTGAGTGCCTTCCTCTGGGCCAGGACTGTGCAAGAAGGGTTGCTTATGTTTTCTCTATCTTTTGAATCCACAATCTTCCTGAGTGCTGGAATTGCAAGTGTGCACAACTATTCCCAGCCATTGTGTTTCTTTCTGATCTGACCTTAGTGGCTGCAAGAGGAATGTTAGCTGGGCTTCCTCAAACCAGTCTTTTCCCTTCCAATGGGGTGGTGGTCATCACAGCGATATGTTGTTGTATGACATTCACTGTCTTAAGCATTGATTTCAGATGTGACCCCTCTGAGATTAATATATCTGATGAAATGCCTAAAACCACAGTCTGGAAAGCTCTCAGTATGAATTCTGGAAATACAAAGGAAAAAAGGTAAAGAAAAGGATAACTTCTGCTTTTTATTTACTTTTAGCATTTGAAAATGGCATTAATGTTGAAGGCAAAATGTATTTTAGTTGTAAGATTGAATTTGTCTAACAAATACTACTTCAGGGCTGCTGCCACAAGAATAGCTATAAGCCCAATAATAATTTTTTTTAAAAAGGACTCTAAATATTTGAGGTGACAGGTTGTTTTGAGCTGCCCATTTACTTAGGTCCAGATTCAGGATAGAATTATTTTGGAATGTAAATTAGTGTTATTTGTTTAGTGTATTTAATCTTCTTTCTGGTTCTCATTTCAAAATGTAAAGGCCATCTCTGGTTACTGCAATCACACAAACTTGAAAATGGCTTCAAGCCTTACCAATACTGTCACCATAAATCATATTGATAGTATTGACACAGATGTTTTTTCCTGTTTAAGTTCTATAATGAGAAGTTTTCCAAGTAAAGATTTTGAAATATCAAAATGTAACTGTTTCTTTCTGCTGCAAAGTAAATTCTGTGTGTCATTTGCAATAGCATAGATCATGTTAACAAAGAAAATGGAAGAAGTTTGATGCAGTTTTGCCTGCCTTGAGGTAGGCTTTGTGTCTATTGACTAGAATTTAGTCCAAACACTATTGAAGTAATTACTTAAGTCGTCAGAAAGCAAAATTGGAGGGCTACTCAGATTTTCCTAGTTTTTTTTTTTTTTTTTTAAGGCAGCTAGGAATCAGGAAATTTGGACCTCTTTTTAGTTCTGTGGATGACCCAACATACTACTGTTTCTGGCATTTTCTTTTAAACTTCTGGATGTTAAACCCTGGACCTCGTACATGCAGTCAAGTGCTCTCCCACTAAGCTACATCCCCAGCACTCAGTTTACTCAGCAATAAAGTGGGGATGATAATAAAGTTGCTTATAAGTGCTCTAAGGAGTCACAGCCACCAGTGGGTGGTAGTGATGGGTTATGTCTTTATCGAATGAGTTAAAATAAATCTGGGCTGAATGTGAGTGAAATATAGATTCTTGTTTCCTTGGGAGGAAAATCCAGGCAGCTGTCGAAATGTATAACGCACACAGTTATTTTTAGTTGAGAACTAGTCTACTTGTAAATGAACTTAAAATATAGCCAGATTCAAATTGTGGTGACATCTTCAAAGTATTGTGTTAAAAGCAGGCATGAATCATGTGCTCCCTTTTTGTCTCATTGTAACACTTTTCTTCAGTCTCTTCAACTAAGAGTCATTGCTGAGATGGAATATTTGGGCCATGAAATGCCTCAGGGAAGTTCTGGTTACAGAGAAAATGGTGAGTCTCTCCGAGAAGAAGCAAGACCATGTCTGGCTCCATCCTTAGTCATCTCAAAGCCATGCTGAAACATTCAGTTACTTTTGATGTGCGTTGCGGGCATCCAGCTGTCCCTAGACCAGCAGCCAGCCACCAGATGTGAACGTGAGAGCAGAAGACCACTCCTGTTGGGGGCTTCTCCTCTTCCTTCTTTCTCTTCAGAACTGCCATCATTAAAGACCCAGCTTCCCATTTGCAGACATTTTCTCTGAAACTCTCTGCTGGCCAGCTGAGCCACGTGGATTCACTGTGCCACTGAAGATTCCTTCATGAGGTCCTTCTTCCGAACGGGTGGAGGGGGAGCAGCAAGAGAACAAAGAGGAAGGGAGGCACCCACGCCTGTTGGGATCTGCAAGCTCCCAGGCAATATAGGCCTCAGTTTATTTCCCAGCCTGGATGGAAGGTGCTGGGTAGATCCAGGGGCAGTCAGGATGACCACCTGCAGGGTCAGCCACCTGGACATTGGCAGTGCCCGCCACAGCCAGGAAGATGCCTCTGACCTGGGTGGGTCATTGATTATCATTCCCTAGCAGCAATCCACACAACTCAGTGAGACCCTTGGTGGACACAGTGCCAAGGGGATATTGGAGTGTTTAGCTTATTTAAGAAGGGGCCTCAGGGGAAAATCAGTAATGATAAGTGGGAATAAACATCTTCTCTTGGGTCTTACTGAGGACAAAGTAAGAGAATGTGCCTAAATTGCTACAGAAGGAACTAGTTTAGATACTGAGGACTTCCTAACCTGAACGTTTGTCATAGTGTCTAGGAAAGGTTTGACAGTTCTTTGTGTGTAGAAAGGATATAGTGTTTTTATTGGCCATCTTGTGAGACTCTGCTGTCTTGCGGCTGTCTCTTTGAGGATCCATTCTGATTCCGTCCTGGAGACATCTAAGTGCTTATGTATTGTCTCTTTAGCTGCCTTATTAGTGACCATTGCCAACTAATGGACCAAAACCACCTTCAGCCATGTGGTGTCTTCATAATCATGCATTTCTTTTGGCTGATCAAAGTTCTGGCTCTCGAATGTAAACAAGCCACACTGGGAAATTAACTAGAAGTGGCCAAATCAGCTTAAGCATTTAGTTTAAAATGACATTTATGGTTTTTCTCTTTTGCTTTTATAGTGCAATGAATGTCAAGGGCTTGGGCTCCAGTTCCTGTAGACCTTCTCTTCTTTTGTGCACAAATGTTGACTAGCAAGGTCATTAGCACACAGAGAATCCAGCCATATAGATCACTTTTCCATCCTGGAAAAATCTTGGTTCCGTTGGAAGATCACCAACATTATTGAGTTTGGCATTCCTTATACTCTTAAAGCATAATAATGTATTCTAGTCTTTCTCTGAAGACCTTTGATGTTGAAGGATTCTTGCATTTCCCCCCATATTTTCTTATCTCTTCAGGCTACAGTTATTTTAATGCGGAGATGATTTGCAAGATATTTTACAATTGGTACAGGACAAACACCAACCGCTCTTAGTGGGGGGCCTGCTCTACACAGCATTATGCATTGTTGTCCCAGTGTTTATTGGCTCCAGCCAATAAAATATTCATATTTGAAAGCCAATGCTTTCAGATATTTGGAATGATGTCCTGTGAATTGCAGGTGTTGGTCCTGACTTGTCTTATTGCTATTCACATGGCCTTTTTTTTTTTTTTTTTTTTTAAGACTGTATGGCTTTCTTTTACATGGAATAGACAGAATCAGGTTTCTTTGAACTATAGGAGCATTAAAAACTTGGTGAGCTGAAGCTTCACATTTCATCACCTTAGGGCAAATCTAGCAATTATACCTCTTTAGAGACCTCATTTGGAAAAAAGTTTTTGTTGTTGTTTTAATCAGCCTGTCAATGGGAAAGCTTTTCTATTGACTTTTGGCTGTCTCTGTGGCTACATTCTTGAGCTTGCTTCTTTTTAGTTTTTTGTGTGTTTGGTTCCCCAAGAATATGTTCCTTTTTGTTCCATCTTGCTTCTCCCATACTTTCCCAGCCACCCTATACGTAGGGAGGTTGGTGAGTAGTTTATCTGTTGAGGCTGTAACAGAGAAGAACCCAACTGGAAGGAAGTGAAAAATGTCTCTCCTCATACACTGATGTCTTGTGCTTCATGTGTACACTCAGCAGCCTCCCTTAACCGTGCAGTGCAGTCCAAGGAGCCTATGGACACTTCTACTCCCTTCCCAGCCACACTCTCCCAGGTCATTGCACCTGATGACCCTCGGCCACTTTGGAAGCTGTGCCCATTTCCTTGAGGCCATTAGATTTTTTTTTCTGAAACAACAGCCAGCCTCCTGTCTGCTGCATCGAATGGTGGCTGCATCTCAACATTCCATACTGTCCCTGCCTCCTCTTCCCAGCGCCCAGCAAACAGTCACCCCAGCCCCGGCTGCTTCCTTGCTTTCTGTGGCTGGTGACCATGGTAGCAGAGTGAAACTAGAAGTAACTAATTAAGAAACTGGGAGTGGAGGTGAACTATTAACAGCAGTATATATGCACGTGTATGAACAAACTGGTGAGAATACAGCCACAAGCTTTTACTATTGTTGTTAAGCTTCTTGTACTTACCTGTGGGAACATAAAAAATGTCCTCTTCCCATCTAGAGGATTCCATCACAACAGTACAGCTTGAGGATAGATGCAGGCAGATAAATCAATGGAAAAGGTATTGAAGCTCAACACAGAAGAGCTGGTTTAGGAAAGAAATTGGTGGGTAGTTTTCATCCCAGGGTAGCTTAGCCAGAGAATTGGTTAACCTCTTTCATGACAAGGGGAGCTCTTAGACACAGCTTGGATGTTGGCAAGCCAGTACCCTGACAGGCTAGTCTTGTCAACCTCGGGAGGGAGGCTAGGGATTTAAAGAAATGATGGTAAGTAGAACTTTGGTTCTAAAGGGAAACAGATCTGAAGTTGCTCCGAAAGCAATTGCTTCCTGATCATGACTGTTAGAGGAAAGTTGATCTAGAGAAAAAGTGAAGACCAGAGGAAGATACTGTGAAACTGTCAACTGCGTTTGGCTATATAACATGCTTCATCGTTAAAAATGATTTCCAACTTCTGATGGGTTGCCAGGATATCCCTGTCCCTATCTCCCTACTTGTAAAAGCTTGCCTTCGGGGTAGAGGGAAAAGGAACTATGTTTTCTCAAGGACTATGTGAATAGGGTTTTTTTTGTCTGCAATATGACTGGATGTGAAATTACTCAAACATTTGATAGAAATCTGCTATAAAAGCTCAGGGTACGGCAGCTGGGACCTTCAGTAAGTCAGTGGTTTACAAGTGGATTCTGGTCATAAAAAAAAGACATGCTACTTTATTTTCTATCCAGTAGCTCTCCAGACTTCTTCTTAGTAGGGAAATCAGAAATTCTCCTTCATCTTCACAGTGAATGTCAGTGTCTCTGTTGCTCATGTCACCCTTCCTGAAGCACAGGGGCAGTCCTCTGGATCTGCATCAGAAACATGGCTGAGAATGTTCTGCCACTTTCTCAGTGTCTCTGAAGATCTGTCACAGGAGAGACAGCTCCTCCTCCTTCCAGAACATTTACACCGCTAGCTGTCTTTATCAGCTTGTCAGTGCATCTTTCTCATACATCTCAGGTTCTCAAGCCACATTCTGGCAGGGATCCAGGGTCACTGCTCCGAATGTTCTCCACTTGACTCTTATGGGAGGCCATGGAGTGGCCAGAACAATGAGAAGACCCTGAATGGGGTCCTGATGCTTGTGTTCCTTATGGTGAGGGAATAAGGATTCTCGAGCTCAGGCCTATCTGCAGTTCAGTGTATAGAAATAGACATTCCAAAGCCAAGTAGAAGATACGTTCTAAGCCACCAATTCTGCGTGGCTCTTATTGGTCGCTGGTCTCTTACCATTAATTGTAGAGCTCAGGCACTTGACTCAGTTACTTTTTCTTTTCATCAGAAAGGAGGGTAATTTTCATAACCAAAGTAAGTGTGAAATAAGTATATCACTGCTTGAAGTGTGAAAGAGGCAAGAAGTGTTACGTGAACCTTTTCAACAGGAGAATTCAGGAAAGTGAGATGACTCAGCCACCAGCATGATTCTTCCAGGAGGTTCTGTGTCCAAGTTGGAATGGAATGGCTTCTGATCCTTCCCAAGAGGAAAGGAATTTTTTTTCTTAGCCCCCTAATCCACTTTCAGCATTAGAGAAAACAGGAGCCTTTTCTTTCTAGCTAATGGCATGGATGTGTGTGGAATGAGAGGAGACCCTGCCCAGGACACTGTCCTCAGCCCAGCACTGGTCAGCGTGCTGGGGCCACTCTCAGAGGTTTGCCATTGACTTCACATATGCAGTCATGTTGGAAACAGATCCACCAAACAGAATGCACAACCACTCCTTTTGTGAAAGAAACCAAAATCCCTCCCCTCCTTCCTTTCTCCCATATCCACTCTTGTCTGTCTGTCTGTCTGGTTGGTTGGTTGGTTAGAAATGACAGGTGAAGAATAGAGCAACCTTCCCACAAGAGGGGGCACCCTGGGTGTTGGTACATTTCCTTTGGTTTTCTACGTTCTTCTTTCTAGTAGGTCTCATGTAGAGCTAGAGATATTTTTGTTTTAGAGATTCCAAAGTATATATATTTTTAGTGTTAAGAAATGTACCTTCTGAACACTCTATGGTGTAAATAGAACTGGGAACGAGGGTGTCATTTTGATAACCCCTTAGTGATTTGTGGTAGAAACAAGACCCCTTCTTCTGATCTGTGTCTGTGACCCAGGGCAGGTCATTGTGACACTGCATCTTAGACCCCTGCCCGGCCAGACTTTGTATGTGCTCACCTCAGTGGGTGACAAATAAAATCTCTAGAACCCTGTGGGCCTGTGCTGTTCTTTGAACCTGAGTCCAAGGCCTAAGCTGATGCTGAATATGGTCAGAACTTGTGGGAAAGAGGCCACAAAGATAAGCAAGGCAAAGCGAATGCTACCTGCCAAAAGCAGCTCCTCTTCATGATGCAGACCTAAACAGCCACCAAGCTGGGAGGAAGCCATGGGGCTCTCCCACTACAGGTCAGCAGGAGAAGGCTCATATGGAGACACACCCAGGCTGCTAGACTACCTGCTCATAGCTCAGTACTCCCACTGCCTCAGAAAGCAGATTTTTAACTGGGGGATGAGAGATGCTCCACTTTTCCATCCACTCATGTCCCATTGCTGGAGGTTTGAAGAGAAGGGCAAGAGGGTCGGAAGCAGTGGAGCAAAAATAGAACACTCAGTGGGTAGCAGGGTGAAAGGAATGGTGCTAGGAAGTCAGGCAGCAAGCCCTACTGACTGACAAGAAAGGTGTCCCCTGCTGGGCACAGTGGCACATGCCTGCACTCCCAGCTCCGGAGGTAGAAATAGGAAGGTCATGAGTTCAAAGCCAGCCCTGGCAAAGTTAGTGAGACCCTAGCTCAAAACCAAAATCCAAAATGGCTGGAATTAATGGCGCATATGGCAAAATACTTACATAGCATGCCCGAGACCCTTCTGTATGGCAGAGAGAGGGAGCAGAGGGGAGGGGAGAATTGGGGAGGTGGGTAAAGGCCTCTCCTGGGAGTTCAGAGCAGAGGTGCCCTGGGCACCTTCTATGGAGTGAGAGCCAGTGGCTTGGGCCTGCAGGCTGTGGAAACAGGGCTTGCTAATTCTGAGACCTTTTGCTCTTTTAGCAGTTTTCCCAACACCTAAATGATATACACACATGATGTCCTCGGCCTCACCCTGCCGTGCTTAAATTTCATCCTGTACTTTGTGGTGTCAGGGAAACTGCTCGAGAGCCCCAGAGCCAGTATCAATGCCTTGGGCCTAGTAAGCAACAACAACAACAATACAATTCAGAGTAGGTAGATCCTAGGTTAGTTAAATCAGCAATAATAGCATCACAGATGTGGTCAGCTTCTTTGCAGTTTTCTTGGTTTTTGCCTCATAATTACAAGATGGCTCCTGAAGCACCAGGCATTGCATTAGCCACCACAAACCTCCAATGCAGGAAAGGATGGGTTGATTTTCCAGCTTCTCCCCTCACTACCTCCTCCTCCTCTTTACTATTCTCTTTTGTCTCCCCTCATCCCCCTCCCTCCCTCTCCCCCTTTCTGTCAGTTTTTCCACTCTTTTTCAAATAAGGGAAAAAAAAAATCTTTCTCGGAAGCACCCGCACACATCACTGGTCAGAAATGTATTACCTACCCATCTCTTAAGATGCAAAAGGGAAATGGATGCGATTATCGTGTTTTGCTTGGACCAATTAGGTTGTTTTGTGAGATTGGGCCCACCTTCCTTCACCAGGATTCTATAGGTAAAGGGTAAGGAGTTGCATGGGACTAAATAGCCACACGAGTCAGGGAAGCCAGGAACACCTTGTGCTCTGGGCCTCAACAGCCAGAGCTCAGGGGCCAAGGAATGTCTCTGAAGGTCGGTGGTTCTCCACCCTGCTTTTACCTGAGATCAGATTTCAGTGCCCAATTCTCCTGTATATCAGACAGACCCTAGGGGTGAGTCCAGCGCCACTGTTGTGTCAGTGAAGTTTCTCCTGTGCAGGTCAGAGTTGACATGTGCTGCTAGAATGCTTTACCTTTGCCCTTGTCTGCTTCACTCCAACCAGCTCACTATCAGCCACTATGCAATGCCGCCATCCTGTCTTCACACTCCTATCTAGGACTCCCGCAGCCATAGCCAACTGCAGATTCTTCCTGCTTTGATCCCATGGCCGAAATCTCCCGTGTCTGTTCTTCTAAAACGATGCCACACTGTAGGTCCCTGACTGCTCCTGGATCAGGGGCCTCCATATCTGGAGCTACCCTCTGGGCCCACTGGGGAACAGCAGGGGTCAATGGTAGAGAATAAGGCTGTTGAGGGATGTCTCTTCAACTGAGGGCTGGGATGTGTCCGTTTCCCTTAGGAGACAAGGGCCAGAGGGCTATGGTGATAATATGTCTTGTTATCTCAGTTGTGGTCAAAGGCTATACAAACCCTAACCCAAATATCCCCTTTTACCTTTGGTTATCTTTAATTCGGGGGACATAGACACACATTGCAAGTTATTCCACAGCTCCTCACCTGAGCACTCTGGGGTCTCGTGTGACAGGATGTCAGGATTCACGCATACAGAGAAATGCAGCAAATGCCCTGTCAGGAGGCTGAAAGGTGCCAGGGAGCCCTTGGAAAAGGCAACCTATATGATAGTAAATCAGGAGCAAGCCTGTCTTGAGTTCAGGTCCCAGCTCTGCTTCTACAGTTGGATGAACTTAAGTTAGTGGCTTCAGCTCTGCTTCAGTTTCTTCCTCTGAAAGATGGGAATACTAATACCACCCTCTTTCCAGGGCCAGGTTGGAAGATTCAGAGAATTCTCAAGCATTCTAATACTGGCTTCTCCTCTTGTGCCTCCAACCAGTCCCATAGTTCCCTCCCTCACCTGCCCCATGTTGGGTTTCCAGTGAACCCCTAGAGTCCTTTTTAGGGGATAAGGGACTGAAGTGACTGTAACCTCCATCTGAGTCCTTTACAGGTATTAACTCATAGGGAGAAAGACACCATAGCCAGGCATCAGTGGTTCGCACCAGTAGTAATCCTAGCTAGTTGGGAGGCTGAGTTCTGAGGACCCTGGTTCAAGGCCAGCTCAGGCAGGGAAGTCTATGAAACTCTTATATCCACTTAAGCACCAAAAAAACAGAAGTAGAGGTATGGCTCAAATGTTAGAGCACCAGCCTTGAGAAGAATAAATCTAAAAGACAGTGTCTAGGCCCCAAGTTCAAGGGGAAAAAAAAAAACACAAGATACCTCTGCACGTGGCTCTCACCTAACCCTTTCATGCAGAGTCAGCTGTCAGCAGAGTTTTAAGATCATTATACCATCGATCTTTTCTGTATACAGAGCTGCATGGAGGGGTGAAGAGGAGGTTCCTCAGCCCCTAAAAGTAAACATTCATTTCTCTACTATTGCTTTATCCCCAAGGCCCCTCCATCCCCTCAGAAATGGCACAATCATTTGTCATGACCTTGTTTCCACACAGCCAAGAGGACCATGCCCCAGGCTTTGCTACATAGGCACCGTGCTTGGCCAGGAGCTGGGAGCTGGGATTCTAACACTAATTAGGGGTCAGAACTGTCCAGGCCTCACTATCATCAGCAAAGGTCTGACTTGGCTGACTCCTACCCA